CCAAACGAAACCAAAAACAATTAAAAACACCAAATAAACAACAAAAATCAAAAATCCTATATCTAAACGCCGAGACAGCCTGATCCCGCTGTGGCACCATATCCAACCGCCAGGACAGTCTTTGCCTACTGTGGCACAAAATTCAAAAACGCTATAACAGTTTTCTGGTCTGTAATAGCAAAATAAGTCGAAACGCCGAGACAGTCTTCGCCTACTGTGGCACCAAATCCAAACGCTGATACAGAGACTGGTTACCTCTGTAGAAGCACCAAGTCGAAACGCCAAGACAGCTGCTACTCGCTGGGCACTAAGTCGAAACGAGAGAGTTACTCACTAAAACTTGAGATGAAGACTCATTAAAAATGAACGAGAGAGTTACTCATTAAAACTACCTAAGTCGAAACTTTTTCTTTTTATCCCTAAAAGAGCCCGCTGGAGGATTGCTTTGCTTTCTAACATCTCTTTCTGTTATCAAAATGCTCTTTAGCACTAGGCGTCTAGTAAGCGATAGCTATCGCTTACCTAGACAAAGGCCGAAGCACCACAGACACACTTCAAGCACAAACTCGTATTTGTAAATAAATCTAGTTAGAACGGCCTCGGCCAAAGTCTTACATAGCCTCGAGCTCACTAGACTCTAATGGAACAATAATAAGTGCACCGCCACAGGTGGTGGTGCTTGCGTCCGTGCATGCAGGTGGGTGCCTTGCGGTTGCGGGGAGCTCCAACACCTCCGGCTTCTACCTGGGCGCTATACGATTGCTCCACTGTCGTTTCTTCTTTTGCCATATCACTTGCCTGTTGCGTGGAGGTCTGCAGCTGGTGAAAGCTCGCAACCGCCCAAGGCAATCTCCTGCACCCCGAGCACAACATTTGGGGTAGGTAGAGCAACCATCCACCCCACATCATCGCCGCCCGCCGCTTGATCTGCTTGCTCGACCACAACACCACAACACCCAGACGCGACCATGTCGGCCGAACTAAACAGCCTGTTACTGTCGTTTCAGCCAGACAGTCCCGAGGTCGAGAAGAGGCGCGACTACGACGCCAAAGCCCGCAGCTTTGTGGCGCAATTGTCCAACGTCTCAGCACCACATTGGTTGAAGGGCGCGGATACAGAACAGGATGTGCTTGTAGTGGGTATGCTTGCGAGCGCTCCTCTGAGGCCTGCTAACGCTATAGATTCTCAACCCCGCCGTAAACTCAATAGCGTACGCCTTTGCTCTCCGGAACCGCATCGCCGCCCTGGTTGAGAAGAAGAACGCATCCGAGACGCTGCAGCCCGGCGGCACGCTATGGAACCAGCTGGTGTTGTTCTTGGAGACTGCCGATCCTATACAGCTGCGCTATGTCGGGAAAGAGTGGAAGAACCTGGTGGAATACACAGAGGAGATTGCACGCGGGTGTGGATCAGTATGTTTGATGTGGCCTCACACGACACGGGGCCACGGTGCTAACACTTTGGCAGCCGAGCCTCGCTATTGCGCCAATGCGGTCGGCTATGACTCGGCTTGATCCTACGACGGGCACTTTTACCTCAGTCCATGTCAGCTTCATCCACCTGTGTCTGGAGACGCGATCGTACGCCGCCGCCGAACCCATCCTGGACAACTACATCCACACGCTTCCCGCCAAGATTCCAAGTGCAGTTCGCGAGGGACTGGAGTACTCTGTGCCATGTGCAGATGTTGCGAGCAGCGGCGAGTACATTCACCAGAACTCTGGCCACACGGATAGGGTAGGGCTGGCCGATATTCAAGAGTACTATGTTTTGGGGGCCATGGCGTATCTGGGCCTACGTCAGTTCAAGAAGGCGAAACACTTTGTCGAGCACGTGCTGGTTGTTCCGTCGGCCAACACAGCCAACGGTCTCATGCTGGAGGCTTACAAAAAGTGGGTTCTGCTGAGCTGTTTAGTCGGGGGAAAGGTACGTTTTGTAGGCGAGGAGACAGGCAAGCGCCAGCTCACACGGACAGATGGGGAATATACCACGGACGGCGAATGCGACAGCGATGAAGAATATCAAGGCGGCATGCAAGGCGTACGAGGCGTTGGCAGAGGCGTACGAAGAGCTGGACAACATGTCCAAGTTGAAGGCACAGGCGCAAGCTGGCACCGAGATTTGGGCAGAGGTAAGACGATGAAACAAGACTTGAAACGGTGCAGTGTTAAGTTTCAGAAAGCGCTGACCAAGTATGCAGGACGGCAACGCGGGACTGGTTAGCGAGCTCATCAACAGCCAGACGAGGGCCTATGTTTCGCGGCTGTCGCGAACGTACTCGGCGATGCCAGTCTCTAACATTGCCTCACACCTGGGGGTCACGAGGGACGAAATGGCACGATATATCGAGGGCTTGATCAAGGATGGGCAGCTTAACGCGCGGTTGGAGGAGAAGGACAAGTCAGGCGGAGGGATGGTGCTGCGTTTCTACCTGGACCCCAGGCAGGGGCCTCTGGGCAAGAGCGAGAAGCAGCAGCAACAGGCGTTGTTTGGGCAAACGCTTCGAACGAACCGGCTGGCGGAGCAGGTCAAGGATGCAGACTACCGCATGACGCTGACCAAGGAGTACATTGAGAACCAGAAACGGCTGAACAAGCGGCAGGGTAATAATGGTGATGCTATGGACATGGCATGGGACGACAGCTTGGATGCCGACGAGGATATCATGGGAGATTTGCATTGAGGGCGGTAGCATACATGGCTCGAGGCAGGTCAGCAGGTAATGAATGAATGGGGCGAATGAATGAACGAATGAATTGAGGACTTGGCGAGTGTAGAAAGTCGAGGCGGCAAGTGTTAGCGTAGGCGGGTGTTTGGCAGGACTAGGTGTATGTAGTGTGGAGGGGGAGTAGGCAGGGGCATGGGGCATGGGGGTGGGAATAACGGTGGTGCATAAAAGAGCTTGTGGTGGTGGGTAAGGATATAGGTAGGGATGGCCATGGAAGAAGACACGGGGGGGTTTGCATGGAGAGGCATGCATGTCAGGGTTGGTGGTGTGTGTGTGTGTGTGTGTGAAGACGTAGAAGTAGTAGTAGAAGAAGAAGAAGAAAAGACGAAATGCATGCATCCCCGCATGGGGAATGGAATGCTTTGTTTTTTTGTTGCAGGGTGCTTTCTTTTCTTTTCTTTTTCGTTTGTGAAGCGTGGGTCGTCGTGGGGAAAAGAAGAAGCCGGAGAAGGGGGGGTAAGGTGGAGGGGAGTGGAAAAGGGAAAAGGGAAAAGGGAAAAGGGAAAAGGGAAAGGGAAAGCCAAGGAGTGTGTATGGGGGGGGGGGGGATTGCGAGATACTCGGAGAGACAGAAAGGAGAGAGAGCGCGAGAGAGATGGAAGGGAAAGAAGGAAAGGTGAGTGAGATGGTCAGTTTGCATGTGTCAGTATCGAACCATTATCGCAATACGCGACGCAAACAACAAACGGTGGTGGAACATGCCGTCTTATCGGCGAAGAACGTGGGGAGACAGACAGACAGACAACCAAGAGGGGGGGGCGCGCGGGCGGGCGGGCGGGCGGGCGTTGTCGGCAGTTTTTTTTCTCGTGCGTACAGCAGGGGGGGGAGCACACATTATTAGTATGGCTCGCTTTTACGGGGCTGATACGAAGACAGTATTACGGACAGTTGCTGCTTGCTGCTACTGCTGCTGCTACTACTGCCAAACGGCGGGGGGGTACCAGCCGGACATGGATGTGAAGGGGGGAAGGGGGTGTTATTTTGGGCTGACGGCTGGCTGGCGGGGTGTAGCAGGTTTACCGTTGGTGGGTGTGTATGGATGGATGGATGGATGGATGTGGGTGTGGGTGTAACAGATTCAGACACATGCACACATACATGCACATGCACATGCACACATACATGCACATGCACATGCACACACACACGTATACATGGGAAAGCGGAGAGGACATGGCAATTGGCTGGATAGGGGGAATTGACTTAGTGTTGGCTTTTTTTTTCTTTTTTTTTTCTGGCTTTCTCGCTCGCGCGTGCTGGCGATGTGCCTGTGCCTGGGCTTACATTACACGCGCGCACATGGCCGGGAGGCGCATGAGAAGCTCTGCCGAGACCAGACCCTGAAATCTGCCCCCCCCCCCAGCAAGTATAGCTGTACACCTGCATACGACGGTAGCAGCATGTAGTATCACCACCGACCATGACATGACAGCGCCATGTTTTCTAGAAGCACAGAAGCACACTGGCTCCACGGAGAACACACACACACACACACTTTACTTACTCACAACCCCGACTGCAACTAGCCAACTAGCCAACCAGGCTAGTTCACGCGCCTAATTGCTCCCAAAAGCTAATAAGAGCGAGCAAGACGAGCGGAATGCGAAAATCAAATCCCCCGATTCGATGACGCGCCGCATCTCATTTTACGCACCCAGCACACATACGCGTTGCGGCCCCTACATGGTTTTTTTTTTTTTTTTTTTGCCTGTTCCTGTCGACGCCTCGCTCGCCTCCCCCTCGTTCCCGCGCGCTTATGTTTGCACTTGGTTGTAGTTCGTCGCCGTCGTCGGGCGTCTGGGCTGTCTGGCATCGGGCGTCGGGGCGTTCCTGTGGCCATGGATCATGCTGCCATGGCACGCCGACCAGGGCGAGGGGTGACGAGGGCCACAGTGGGCAGTCAGCCTCTAGCCCTCGCCCACAAAGGCCCATAGGCTATCCCATCCCCCCCCTTCGTGCCCCCTGTCCAGCTGTGCCCTGTTCGCTCCCCCCCTCCCCCCCAGAAGGCGTCGTCTAAGCTCGGTTTAGAACGGGACCCCTGATAGCTGTACGGATACGACTTGGCGCCATGTTGCCGTCCCTCGTCGCTCCACATTCGTCTCTGCCTCTCTACCTGTAGGGGTCTGGACGACAGACACACACACGAAGACAAGACACGACACGACGCCTCACGACTCCCCCCCCCAAAGACGCCCGCCATCTGTGCACCACCACCTGCTCCACTACCAACTCCACCAACTCCACTTCCACTTCCACTTCCACCTCCACCGTCATCATCATCACCACCACCACCACTACTGCTGCTGCTACTGCTACTGCTATCACCACCACCACCACCACCGCCGCCGCCACCTCACCCCAGTCCGCCTGCTCAACACCCCCCCGCCGTCCGCCGCCCGCCGCCGCCTGAGCGCGTTCCTGCTTCGGCAACCATGCCTGCATCCGCTCTGCATTAACCGCTGGCTCGGCCTGAGACACGCAGCCTCCCTGTCGACTCTCCAGCATGAACATCCAGACCACGCCCACGGCCGCTGCTGCTGCTGCAAGAGGAGGAGGGGGAGATGAGGACAAAGGACGAGGACCGGGAGGAGCATCAGACCCAGCAACACGCACCGGCATAGCAACGCGGGCAGCGGCAGACGGCCCTGCCACGCCCGCCCGCCGCTCGTCGCGCAGTGCCTCCATGTCATCGTCGTCGGTCGCCACAGTCAAGCGGTCGGCCTCGCTCAAGGACGCCAGCGCGCTCCTGCATTCTTCGCCCAAACCCCACACGCGAGCCACACCGCCCCCGGCGGCCTCCCGACGACGTTCGAGCGCGGCCAACGGCGCTGCAGATGGCATCCCGCCCGTGACCGACGTCGCTGTCCTCAATCGCTGGTCTCAATCCACGACGGCCTCGCACCACGACCACGAGAGGCGCCACCACCATCAGCACCACCCAAGCTTCTCGCGCAAGCTAAGCTTTGCCTCGACCGGCGCCGCCAATGGAGCTGTACCACACCCATCTTCGCCCGCACGCATCCACTCCTCGCCGCCCTCGCGCTCCACCAAGCCGCACACCACCCCCAGCCGCTCGCCCACGGCCAGTCCCCGCCGCCCCAGGCCACGCTCGCCCGCCTACGAGCCCCCGCAGTCCGTGACGGCACCCCCCAAGCTGCCATCGCTCCCGCCCGTGCTCCTCCCTTCGACAGTCTACGACCCCAATACCCCAACCAGCAGCTCCGCCACAAACTCGCCCTCTGCATCCAGCATCTTTGCCCCGAACCTGCAGTCGGTACCCCCGCCGCGCGACTACTTCAGCGTCAAGCCTGCTACCCCCCAGCCGCTCCCCATACAACGCCCGCCCTCGCGCACCAGAGTCGACAAAGTCCTGGGGAAATCGCCCCTCGCGTCGCCTGCCATACTCAACGAGACGGACCCAAGACGCGACTCCACCTCGGGCCCAGGTCGGCCCTCGACCGTACAACGACCCCCGGGCACCACCACCCCTATTACCACCAACACCACTACTACTACTACTACCGTCGCCACACCGCGAGACTCTGCGCATAAACCTTCGCACTCGGCCAGCCATAGCAGACATATTTCCTCGCGGCGGCACTCGCGGACGCTGAGCAAAGACCACTCTCGAAGCGCCAGCAGAACTCACGCTACGAGCCCGAGCAGGGATCATCATCGAACCGAGAGCAATACCAGCACTAGGCTTGACGATCCCTACCAGGGCACCCCTCCCCGCACTCGCGAGAAGAGGGAGAAGGACAAGAAGACAATGTTGTCACGGGCGCTGCAAAAGGCAAACACGGCCGTCCTGCTCGACAATGCCCAAAATTTCGAGGGCGCCATGGAGGCGTACGAGGATGCCTGCAAGCTCCTCCAGCAGGTCATGATCCGAAGCTCCCAAGAAGAGGATAGGCGCAAGTTGGACGCTATTGTAAGTCACACACGCAACCTCCCATTGTTCGCAACACGGCGCTTAGCGAGAGAGAGAGAGAGAGAGAGAGAGAGAGTTGTGTCTCCTTTGCAGATGCTAACAGGCGCAGCGAGTAACATACACAAATCGAATAGAAGAGCTCCGCCGGCTGGATCCTGCCTATACCCATGGCAGTGGTAAGTCATTGCCTGCTCGTCCCATGAGCGGGGAATCGCTGGACGAACACCGCTCAATGCTTCTGCTCGAAGAAGACGAGGACGAGGACGAGGAGCCTGTAGTCGTGCAAACCGCGTCTGTTTCGCGAATTGTAAACGATCGCTCCGTGTACGAAACCCCGTCGGCGGGTGAGGCCGAATACCCCCCCTCGCAACACCAACAATTGCCGCTGCGCAAAGACTACGAAGGCTCCCGCGAGTCGGTCATTTCGACGGCCATCCGAGATGTACAGAGAGGCCTTCAAAGCTCACAATTCAGTTTACAACCACCGCCGGGGCGGTTGGCACCCTCCGCAGCTGTCGGACGGTCTTCCGCCGACTCGGCAATGGACCGCACTTACATGCCCCCACCCCTCTCACCAAGGCGGTCCAAATCTCCTCTATTCGACAGCAACGCCGCTTCTAGACCAGAGGAGTCAAGCCGATTACTACAACCGCAGCCGCCGGTACAATCCCACCACCAGCGCGTCCATAGCAATGAGTCGACATCGTGGCTGGACACCATAGACGAGTCGGGAGGATCATCATGCTCTTCTTCGGTACATTCCATGTCCCCCGGGGGACCGCGCCGGAAGCACCTACGAAATCCAAGCGGAGAGACCGAGGCAGAGTTTGATGCTGCACTCGACGCAGCCGTTGAAGCGGCCTATGACGATGGCTACGAACCTTATGATGACGACCTCTCGACGCCGGCCGACGTGATTGCAACCAAGCTGCGGAACGTGGAATTGGCAAAGGAGCGCGTGCGCGAGGCAGAGCGGGAGGAGGCCATTGCCGCGGCCAAATTTCGTTACAAAGAAACTCAAATCCGGAACGAGGCGCTACCCCATGTCCGCGAGAGTGCCGAAATTACTTTGAACGAGGAGGCGGAAGAGGAGGAAAGGCTATTGGACGAAATGACAAGAGAGTACATGCTGGATGGGTTCGATTTTGACTTGCAAACAAAGTCGGCGTTGCCACGGCAGTCGGACTCGAGCAATTTTTCTGGAAGTACGTACAACAGCTCCGTGTCGTCGCACAGGACGACGGGCGGAACGTCGCTCTCAACCGTCACAGAAGTGACACACCCGTCATCCAAGCCGCCGCCCTCACACTCGCCGCCCCCGGTCCCTGCCCCCTCTGGCGCGCTGCCTGCGTTGCCCCCGGTTCTCGAGTCACAGGCACCGCACACGGCCGACACAGCAGAGGTTACGCCACGACCCAATACCGCTACCAAGGAAGCTGCTTCGGTACGGAGCCGCAGATTGTCCGGGCAAAATGCGAAATCGCTCAAGATCGAGACGTCTGTGCCTCACGTCCCGCCCGCGCCGCACACGGAGAAGCCGGTGGTACCAACTAAAGATGCGTCTATTGATCTTCACGCTCCGCCCAAATCAGCGGCGCCATCCTTCAACACAAGCAAACCTTCACTAGACGCCACATTTAAACTTCCTGCACTGCCGCATTCGGTCCAACAGACGGGCCTCGCCGCCCCATCACCACAACCTACACTCTACAGCCCCGCGGATACTGGTCCCGCCCTGTCGCCAGCACCACATGGCCTCGCTAATGAGCCTGGTCTCGTGCCAGGTTCCCCAAAGACCGGGAAAACCCCAACCTTGGGAATCAGAAAAAACAAGTCTTCACTTAGCCTGAAGCAGCGGAATTTGTCAATGTCTAGCCCGGATGGCTCGGATGGATCCGTGGGAACGCCACTCAGCACCACCTTTTCGATAAGTGGGCGGAAAGCCAGCAATGCTGGGCTGCCTCTTCCAACGCCTAGCCTACCCACATTTAACATTGACGGACTACCGAGCGGCGGATTGCATCTGTTCGAGAGCGATATCCATTCACCTTTTTCACCAGGATCGCCAAGTCCATCAGTTGCAAATGCGCCCATTCCGCTAGAGCCATGTCCCGACTCGTATCTGTTGAGGCCATTTTGGCTGATGCGGTGCTTCTATCAAACAATTGCGCATCCCCGCGGAGGATACCTGTCAACCAAGCTTTTTATTCCGCGGGATGTCTGGCGTGTAAAGGGCGTCAAGCTGAAGAACATTGAAGACAAGATTTCCAATTGCGACATGCTCACAGCAGCCCTGCAGAAGCTGGCTATTGTAGACACAAACGACGCGGATGCTGTGCTAGAAGAGATGCAATCGTTGGAACTTGTGCTCGACCAGGTCCAGAGCCAATTGGCCAAGAAACTTGGCAATGAAGTCGGCGTACATACAGTCTCCAACCTCTTCAAAGATGCAACTACCGTAGGCGAAGGCGCATCGTCCGCAGACGGCTTTGGCAAGGGGCAAACGGGTAGCCAAGACTATGTGCCCAGGGGCGCAGTGGCCCAAGGTAAATCATACCTGGCGTCGTTTCGCAAGCTGCGCTCCAAGAACTCTGGTGTCAATCTCGCTGGCCTGGCTGGTACCGGCAAGAGTAGCGAAGTACCCAAGGATACTTTGGTCATGTCTACGCTTCCCATGACGAGTTTGTCCAGCATACGTTTCGCCAAGCGAGACTTTTCGAGCGTGGCTTTTGAAGGTCCCAATGCTGGATACATGGAATCATTGGCGCGATTGTTTGATTCGGTTCAGATATTGGGTGAGTTTTTTCTTCTTCTTGGCCTGTATCAATATGTGTACGTGCCTGTTTCACTGACACGACAAACTACTTTTCTAGATCAAATCGCGCGCCAAGTCGAAGACCCAGGCCTCAAGCACTCGTCGCCCACGCACGTGGGCCTCGAGCTCTCGACTCGCCATGCCGCAGAGTTCTTCGGCTTCTACATTTGCCGCTTCGTCCTCTCGGATGTGACGCTCATGCTGGATAAATTCATCAAGAGAGGAAGTGAATGGGTCTTGGTTTAAAGAGCGAGAGAGAGAGAGACACACACACACACACACACACACACACACAACACATGCGCATACACACACTCGCATGCATGCATCTTCTTCTTCTTCTTCTTCTTCTTCTTCTTCTTCTTCTTCTTCTAGTTTTGTGGACGCAAAGTTTGCGGATAGACAGGGAGGGAGGGGAAGAGAAAGAGAAGAAGAAGAAGAAGAAGAAGAAGAAGAAGATACGAGAGAGAGAGAGAGAGACAAGGGAAGGGAAAGGGATAGAGGAAAAGATACAAACAAACGTACAAGAGATAGCAGATACGAGAGAGAGAAAAAAGAACAAGGAATGCCAGACTGGGAATCAAGGTGATCAGCGATAGGGACAGGTAAGAGGAAGAAGTATTGGGGGGGGGGGAGATATGAGTAAGAGAGAGAGAGACAGAGAGCTACGTACATGTGTTTGAAGAACTCCGCGTTTATGAAGTTATGCGTTTTTTACCTATTTTTATTTCTTATTTCTTTATTTTGTTGTTCTCACACACTGCTACACCTAGGGAGCGGGGTCGTGTATGCTATTTATTCTCGCTAACACTACGCTTCTTTACTTTACTTTACTTTACTTTACTTTTCACTTTCTAGCGCTTCATCTTTCAGATAGTACATCAGATGGATAGCAGGTTAGATGGGTCGGGTGGGTGGGTGGACATCTCCTTTCGCACACGTATGCGTTGCAATTGTTATGAATTGTGCTGTTTGGTTGGTTGGTGTCTTTGAAGATATCCCGTTCTTTGCCCCAGCTCAACTCCATCTTATTAGTTTAGCTTGGCTGATTAGTTTTTGTTTATATCGCAATCGGAGCTTCGTCACATTGTGGGATTAGTTCGTCGTTGATGCTTCACTATGCACACATCTTTCTTTTTCCAGTAAAGCTAGGGAAAGGGCTTGAGGCATGTTTGATTTGTATGCGGAGACAAGAGCTATTCAGTGTAACTACCCGTACGTAAAGAAGTAAGAGAAATAAGGTTCGTGAACACAAGACGAGGAGCTGCTGCGCTCAGACAACAAAGCGCCGGGCCACTCGTGCCACAGCAACAGGTGCTTGATGACCCTTCAATTGCACACTTGCACCAGCGTGTAAAGCGGTTTTGCTTTCCGTCGATGCCCAGCGTCTTGACATAACCCAATCCCAAAGTTCTTGGTGAGTGTAGAACTTTCCATCTTTGGGTGGCGGTCTCTTTGCTTCCGCTCTGCGTGTCATTGGCCGTGGCCATGTTTCCCGGCGCTCAGCACTAGCATCGTCGCTCCCGCCCCCTGGGAGATTGAGAGAGCGGCCCCATGCTGTTTGCGAACTTTCCAGGCTACTGCTCGCTCGGATGGTACGTATGACAGCCTGGGCATTGATGAGATTGGCGTCCAGCATCGCCGTTTGTAGTGTCGTGAGGCTTTCTTGGAGACCTGCAATGGCTTCGTTGACGGGTGCATTCATCTCGCGGTGGAATTCACGCCCAAGCGCCGTCAGGCTGCTGCTAAGGTTAGGAATCGCTTGGACATAGTCAATGTACGGCGTTGTAAGATCGACCGTCAGGTTTTCCGGCTTGAGTGTTGCGGTAGGGATGACGGTTGGGGCAACTAGGCTTGCAGTCAAAGGGAGTGTGGGCGTGGCTTGAGTTGGAGGTGCTGTGCTGTTGATGGCAGGAGGGACATTGACGGATGTAGCTGGAGTGAGCCACGCGGCCTATAGTCGCTAGTGTCAACTCCAAGTTCATACAGAACAAACTGAAGGTAAGAATGTACCTTGTTTGTGTCAAGCTGAAACTTTCCTCTCAAGATGGTGCTGGTGATGTTGTTCACGAGATCTGCAGTACCCATCTGATTACTGCTACCAGGCCAATTGAAGCCAAAGCCGCGGTTGGAATTGTTAGGGTCCCCGATGGCACTTGCTGCCGCATTGATGACGGTCCTTAGGTCAGCGAAGTCTTGCATAGCCGGTATGGTCGCCGTGGCCATGGGGGCGAGCATCAGCCCAGTTACAAGCATAACGCCCAAGTCGTAAAATCTGCAAGGAGCCGAAAGCATAGTAAGCTGGTAATGCGGCCAGCAAGTACCGAGTGTGGTAAGCTGATAGGTGAGAGGAGCTAAGGGAAGGTCAAAGTATGCTGCTGGGAGCTAGGTGTTGCTTGAATCGGGTTGTGGTGGAGGTTGGTGAGTGGATGAAAGGTGGACAGCGCAGATGGTATCTTAAATTGTATTTTTCTTTTTGGGCAGAGCGTCATGGTTGCCTTCTAACGAGTGTTCGTGCAAACAAATGAGAAGGAAAGAGCAACATGTGAAATGGGAGGGACATTGAACATTGCATGAAGAGACAGGTACGAAGAACCACCTTCTACCTAGTGCATCACATATGTATGGTTACACGAACCATGAACTAAGCTTTCATCTGCTCAATCTGCAGTAAGAAATTCCTCCTGGTACATGTTAAAACATACATGCTGGAATCGCACTACCCCAACCTTGTCAAAGCACCGAGAAGTTCCATTATTGTGTGTAATTGCTACTTTCGCGTATTGGAGTGAAAATTGAAAAACAGCCAGATCTATGGTAAGACTGTTTAGCCCCTCTTGCTTCATATGTTTCTCAATATGCAGCATTTTGAAATTGATCTGCCAATAGACATGAGCCATCAACAGGCAATTGCCATGAGATAGACACAATATTCCCCGAGGTGACTTCTCCGGGATTGTACTCAGAATTCAGGGCCCCAACTTTTTATTTCTACTACACTGTGACTGCCCCAACACTCTAGGGACAAGGGCTTCTGACAAAGACAATAATATGCTGTTCAAAAGGCTAGAAAGTCCATACAGACAATTTTAGAGCCGTACTGACGTAAGGTAGCCGTGGCCTCCCGCTCACACGACCATTTCCATATTTACGTAACTTATTATGACTATTGCTGCTAGGCATGTCCTTGACGGTCCTCGCTACCATGCTTTCACAACCTAGACAGACAGTGAGGATACATATACTCAGACCAGCAGCCCATGCTATCTGATAAACCTTCTCGGGCATTGCAACATCCAAAGCCTCGGCGATTACAAATTCCCAGTAAGGGGGACGCTGGAACTCCGGACCGTCAGCAGCAGATTTAAACAACCCCAGCGCAGAAGACGTCACCAAGTAAACGGCATTTACTTGTGCCAAGTCCGGCGGAAATGTACGGCTACAGAAAACAAGACGTATACCTTGTTTTTTCTCGAAGAAGGCACTAAGAATATGGGCGGGCTCAGCCTCGCCAGCCCCCGGCCTATACCAACCAATCATGTGCATAAGAGCGTACGCTTGGAAGCGTGAATGCTAATAATAACGTTAGGCATAAACTACATGCATATATTTTTGACAGCAAACACATCTAAATGCGCAACCAAGCCCGATTTCAGGGTGTTCGTTGCAAAGCCACGATGCATCTTATTGTGGGGCTACCAAGGTTTCCGGGTTTCCAGCATTCTTCTTCATCTTGTACCTAGCACCATGTCGATATTACTATATGCAATCACTCAATCGCCATGCCGATGCCGGGCGGTTTTAACCCGGTGCATTATGTCATAAGCATGAAGGTTTCAACTGCCAAACAGGGCTCTCATGCATCTCAGCTTGGTCCAGCCGTCCTGCCAGGCATGAGCCTGCTTGATCCCTGCCGCTTATGTGAACAACACATGGTTTACAGGGTATTCGGGCGGGTCATGTAATTGCAAGAGTACGAGTGTAAAGATAACAGATGTTACGTGTGAAAGTGAGTAATATGCGGCCTAGAAAGGTAATCTGAATATGACCAATTCAACTCCATCCAAACTACTACAAGCAATTGGTTCCTAGCGAATGACAATACGCAATAGTCATACAATGCAACAAGGACTAAACGGCCTCCGTAAACTGCCCATCTTATACTCCAACATACCACTTGCATACGCCAAATGATGGTGGTTGTGAATGGCTGACATAGCCATCTCAGTTGAGTCTTCCAGTATAACGACTGTTCTTACAGTGTCGTCAATTTTGTCCGCGAAACAGTTCAACCCTTTCAAATCTCATCCCATGACTGTGAAGCTCGAAATCCGACATGGCAGAGACTACAGATCCATGCTGTCGGTTCTGGATCTCGAATCGGTGTTGGTCTTCTCATATGCCCTCCACCATAGAGCCATATTTGCTGCGACCAAAAGATCCATCATCTTTAGGCCCTCGTCCTCTAAGATAAGCTTTCCTAGTTTTGCTTGCTTGCCACCCATACCTCCTCCTGCAGACTCTTGTCCAAGTGAGAGATCCAGGCGGTCTTCGTTGTTCTCATCTGCCTCGATTGTAAATGCTGAGCTGTTCCGACCATGTATACCACGACGGAAGAGGGAGGAGCGCTTAGATCCTTCCACAACCCTAGCCGCAGATCTTTTCGGACCACTTGGAAGGTTGAATCTTAGCTCACTCAAATTCGAACTCATAGGCACAGTTCCTTGAAGGCCTGGGATGATGTGGCGACACTGGTATAAATATTAGTATTTTTGACAGACAAAAGCAAATGTAGATTTGGCTACCTTTAATGACCCTCCACCTACGCCGGTGACAAACTCGCAGCGTCCATTCCATGGGCTTGTGAAGACATAGCCGCGAAAACTTGTGTGCCGGTCGGATACTTGGATACTTCCGTAGGGTTGGTCCTCTTGTGTCGAAAAGGACGGCGAAGGCGAAGGGCGTACGTCCACAGAAAACCTATCTGGTTGTCCAACATGCCTGCCAGCAGCATTGGAGCCATAAGAATTGTTTTTCCTATGCCCAAAGGCATTTCCCGAGTGCTGTGATCCTTCCAACCAGATGCGTCGCCGGAATATGCTCTCATTCCTCATCTGGCGATCCGCTTGCGACTCCGGCGTCTCGACATGTTCCCTATATTGTGACGGAACAGAACAGCCGCTATCTCGACTTATCAGAGTAGGCTTTTCTGGACCGTCGGAATAGAGAAATTTGGAGTATCCTGGATTGAATACCTGGACGTACATTGGCGCCCCTAATCGCTTTTTGCTACCAGAGTCTTTCAGAACTGAAGATGAAATCTCTGGCACGGGGGGATCCTCGATGCGGGCAACATTCCATTGGGCGCCAGATGCTGGATCTCGTCGGATGAGGGTGAGTGATGGAGTCTCACGTGGTTGGTTTTCTGATCGCCGCCGGGGTGGCAGTGGTGGTCTTTGATTTTCTTCTTGATACTGGCTTGAATCGAAGGAGTGTCGCGGGTTATTGCAATCTGGTGCAAGCGTTCCAGGCCTTTGCGGAAATTTCCCTGCATTGACGTTGTAGCTGCTGGGGAAATTATTGACAGGAGCTAGGGTGCCAGGTACGGGTTTTCGCGTGGGAGCAGCGGTAGCAGTTCCTGGTACGGCTTTCCGTTGAACTAGCGGGGCAGAAGCAATATTAGAGGATGCTGGATTTTGGTTCGCGGCATCGGGACCTTTGGGGTCGGGAGGATCGACAAGATAGGCGTCCTCTGGCTGGTTGACATGGACATAATATAGTGAGCTCTGGATGTCTTCTGCAGTCACTACCTTCTCGCGCGGTTTCATAGGTGACAGGAAAACATCTGGGCATGTCAGGGCGAGCTTGATAGGGAGGATTTGACGGCCGTACCTCTACTCCCAGGAACACGGGCGATATACAGCACTAACGGTTCATGCCACTGGTGCGTCGGGTTCCTGGGGTAAGTGGGTGGGTTGAAGGCAAGAGCAGTAAGTGAAGAAAGTGACTTGGCCTCGATGGCGGGCGCAGCCATTACAGCGAGAGAGGAGAGAGGAGGACACGGATGGCGGCGGGACAAAGGGTGCGACGGTGGCCTAGTTGGCACGACTGTTGTTGTGGTCGTGGCGGGCGTTGCCTGGGCTATATAACAAGCAACCCACGTCGAGGTTTGTGCTTGTGTGCGCGTGGCTGAGCGTACGCGTCCCCACCCGCTTTATGTATCGTGTACACCAAGTGCGTGGTGCTGGCCTATTGCTGCGCGGGGCGAAAGACAAGCGGCATCGAGCTGACGCGCATCGTCTGGAGGCAAATGAGGCTCACATTCATGCTTGTGGTGGCACGACGCCGCAGCTGCAAGAACGCCATGCTGCTTTGGGCTAGGCCGAGTCTGGGGCCGTCTATTGGCTCTTCAAACCAAGGGTCCTAGCGCTGAAAGTGTCTGCGAAATCTTGGCGTTGATGCATACCGACCTCGATTTTCGCGGCCCGCACACGACACGCTCGCCCCGCCTCCTCAACGCCCGTTACTTTTGCTGAGCCTCGCCCACAACACCAGGAGAACCAGCGGGCGCGCCCAGTCGACACAAGATGGGAGACAATCTCGAGGTGCGTGGCGGGAAAGATGCCTGCCCGTCGTCGTCGTCGCTAACTGCAAGCTCCAGGAGCGATTGAAGAGCCACGCGCGGGCCTTTGAGGGCCTCATGTCCTTGATCCCCGCAAAGGAATACTATGGCAAGGACGAGAGTATCACCAGTGTACGCATCTTCTCGCCCCTGCGCCCCCGCTCCATGCTGACATAATGTCTGCAGACGCAATGGCAAAAGAGAGGCAAAAAGCAGACGCTCGAAGAACGACAGGCCGCCAAGCGTGCAAAGCTGGATCCCGCCTCCCACAAGAGCGCCAAAGACGTCATGGATGAGAACGCGCTGAAGCGGAAACGTGAGTTGGAGGGCGAGGCCGACACTGAGGTGTCCGAGGCCGAGTCGTCCGATCTCGACATGGACATTGTAAAAGAGAAGCCCCTCGAGGGAATCAAGAGCAAGGCAAAGAAGCAGAAGACGCAGCCTACTGAGCCCGAGGCCGACGAGGACGACGAGGCCACTGAAACACGAGCTCTGTCGAAATCCGAGGCCAAAGCGGCGGCCAAAGCAGAGAAACGGAGAGAGAAGAGGAAGGAAAAGCAAGAGAAGAACAAACAAAAGCTAGAAGCCAAAAAGGCACAGCAGACTTCGTTCCAGGGCCTCACCGCCGCCGAAGAATCCAACAAGGACGAAGATGCGGACGATGCCGAAGAGGACGACGATGCTGCCGATGAGCTCGAACACCCAGACGACCACATCGAAGCTCTAGACGTCAGCGGTCTCGTCGAAGAGGGTCAGTCCACCGCTCCCTCCACTACTGCCAATTCCAATTCCTCTACAGCTTCCGTCGCGTCGGCTACTTCATCAGCCTCGTCGATACCTCAATCCACTCAAGAGACGTCGGAGAAGAAAGCCAAGAAGCCCTACACAATCGACCCGCAAACCCATGAGAACTTCAGAGCTCGGTTAAATGCAAAGCTGGAAGCCATGCGCGCGGCGCGCAAGGCTGACGGTCCAGACGGACGGCCTGCCCGGAATCGGGCAGAACTAATTGAATCGCGGCGAAAGAAGGAAGCTGAGCGCAAGGCTGCCAAGAAGGCCCTTCGTCAGGAAGCGAAGGATGATGAGGCCCGCCGGCAAGCAGAAGAGCAACTGGCGCGCATAAGAGGCGGCTCAGGCTCCCCGTCCGTCTTCCCAGCCCGGTCACCAGAAACGGAACGCAATTTCAACTTTGGCAACGTAGCATGGGATGGACAACATCTTGAATCAAACCTCTCTGGGTTCTTGCAGTCAAGGAAGAAGAAGGGCAAGTCGGACGCCAAGACAGCACTTGAGGCCGCGCAGAAGAAGCAAGCCCGCATCAATGCTCTTGATGAGGAGAAGCGTAAGGATATCCAAGAGAAGGAGATGTGGCTCGCCGCCAAGAAGAGGGCGCAGGGCGAAAAGGTATTTGACGATGTTGGTCTTCTGAAGAAGAGTCTCAAGCGTCAGCAAAAACAAAAGGACAAGAGTAAGCAGGAGTGGAAAGAAAGGATCACCAACGTCGAGCAAAGCAAGGCGGCGAAGCAAAAGAAGCGTGAAGAAAACATCAAAAAGCGGAAGGAAGAAAAGGGCCAGAAGGGTAAAAAGAAGGTGAAGAAGCCTGGCAAAAAGGTCAAGCGGCCAGGCTTTGAGGGCACTTTCAAAGCGAGATAGGCGTGTGTATGTACGATCGATGGTCACAGGTGGAGGTGTCCAAATACAAAAAAAAGGTGGGTGGACGGTAGCATGCGTATTATTTGGGAGAGCATCTGGCGTTTGATACCATTTCTTGTAGTACACGGCCTTGAATATTACGATGCTTTCTGCCAAGAACTTGTTGTGCTCTCAGCATGCCATCGCTCTTTGAACGTCAGAAAATGGAAAATCAAATGGTGTTAAAAAAAAGTACTGGTGCGTTTACTCTTTGGGGCCCTCTACGGGAAAGGCCTGTGATTGAATCATCGCATATGTGAAGGCGACCCTCTGATTGTACTGATGCATTGACAAAAGAAACCCGACTCTTATATGTGTGTCAGAGGAAGCCGCCCTTCGGATATATACAGCGATGTCACAGTGCTCAACTCCCCCTTATCTGTAAGGCGCATCCGCGCGAGCAGCCGCGGCAATCTCAGGCTCCCACTTGTCTCCGTTTGCCAACAGCTTCTCCTTGTTGTACAGAAGCTCCTCACGCGTCTCCGTAGCGTACTCAGCGTTAGGGCCTGGGTTTCATCAGAATCATTCCCGGATCATTAATCTGTGGAAAACAAACCTTCGACAATGGCATCAACGGGGCAACTCTCCTGGCAGAGACCGCAGTAGATGCACTTTGTCATATCAATGTCGTAGCGCGTGGTCCTCCTGCTGCCGTCCATACGCTCCTCAGCCTCGATTGTGATGGCCTGCGCAGGGCAGATGGCCTCGCAGAGCTTGCAAGCAATGCAGCGCTCCTCGCCCGTGGGGTACCGTCGCAGAGCGTGCTCGCCTCGGAAGCGGGGTGAAATGGGGCCCTTTTCAAAGGGGTAGAAGATGGTGTATCTTCAGAGGCGTCAGATTTGACAGTCACAGAGGGCACCAGCAAGCCTCGTAGCTCGCAATTACAAGGCCACTTACGGTGGTCGGAAAAACTGCTCCAGCGACACATACATGCCGCGGAACATCTCCAGGAGCAAGAAGTACTTGCCGGCGCGGTCCAATGCACCTTCACCTTCATCCCACTTCTTAGGCTTTGGTAACCGGAAGCCTGGAGGCGGTGGTCCGGCTGGGGTGGCGGCACGGGCGAGGGTAGTCGAGAAGAAGGCGACGGTGGCGGGCGAGGGGAGACGTCCGGACGCGAACTGTGGTGATCGCAGCAGCGTCGCGGCTGGGCGGCTGCGGGCCAACATGGTCAATGGCTTTGCGCTGGCCATTGTGAGCGTGATGAGGTCGCGGGCGAGCCGGGTGTTGCTGTCGATTGCGGAGGTGGTCGTCAAGCTCGGAAACTCGAGGTTGTCGCTTGTAACGCCGAAGCTGCGATTGGCCAAGAGCCACAATGACGGCAACAACGGGCGCAAGGCAACCTTTGGGCTCAGATATTTGCACCGGTCATTGTTTGGATTCCGTCTTGGAGCAGATATCGCTTCTCAAGCCGATTCTTACTACTACTACTACTACTGCTGCTGTTTTGCCGTTTCTGGGAGGTGTTGCTCGTTTGCTCGTGCTAAACGCAGCGTGACGGCTGACTAACGTAATGTAACTTTAGTCTGAAGTTCCAAACTCTAGTCGAGCATCAACATCACCACCCGCCACCGACTTCGCTATCTCGCCAACGGTACTCTTGAAATTGCTCAACATGTTCCGCACAGCACTCCTCAGGTCCGCAAGGTCCGCTGTCCGCGCCGCACCACGATGCCAGGCCGCAATGGCTCGCCCCGCTGCGCGCAGCTCCTTCGTCCAGCCCAAGCAAACCACCCCCTCCGTATACTTCCAGGCTGTACGATGCTACGCCGCAAGCGCTGGTCTGTCGCGCGATGAGGTCACTGGCAGGATAATGGACCTTTTGAAGAACTTCGACAAGGTAATGGTTATGCGCTCGAATTTTTGGCCGTGACTAACGCAGCGGCAGGTCACCGACGCCTCCAAGGTAGATTCCCCACATTGCAAAAGTATTTCGCAGGGCAAAAGACTTATGTGTGCAACAGCTCAACGCCGAGTCCCACTTCCACAACGACCTTGGTCTTGACAGTCTGGATACCGTAGAAGTAGTCATGGCAATTGAGGAGGTTCGTCGCAATGCGGGCAGCATGCGAAAGGCGAAGCTGACAGCAGCGCAGGAGTTCAGCATTGAGATTCCCGACAAGGAGGCCGATGCTATCCACAGCGGTATGTGTCTGGGCGGCTGGTTGGCGGATTGGGCAATACTGATGATATCACAGTCAAGCAGGCAGTCGAGTACATTCTTGCCCAGCCCGATGGTGAGTCGCAAGCATGGTTGCACATGGCATGGGCCAATGCTAACGTGGGGGATAGCGCACTAGATGATATCCAAAGCCTGGGTACTGAGTCGGGGAGGAAGGACGTGGACTGGGTTGTCGGTTGTGCCGGTATTGCTATGTATATGCCTCGTTGTAAAAACAGTCGCCGGGGTCGGCAGCGTGTACTTCTGATAGAATTGACGGTATCCACCTCCACATGTTTTGAGTGTTGTGGTGCGGGCGAGGGCCGATATACTTTGGTATTACGGCGTGCCGTAACTATTCTTGGCACATTGGGAGATGGAGCACCCTGTCCTCTGGTAGCCGTGACACGAGAACCCACCCCATCCCACGACGTGCACAAGCGCCCTGCGATACGCCCCTTTTTCGTACTCTTATATCGCAGTGGCCGGCGACTTTTGCACCTCACGTCCCTCACCGAAAGTCCCGCAAAAGCCGACACCGCGCATGCGCTGCCCAAGCGTCGGCATCCCTGCGTCCGTCGAGGAGCATCACCCATAATTTCCACCTGACACCCCACTCGTCCCACAACCACACCCCATGGCTTCGAGCTCTGGTCTGACACGGCGGAGAGGAGGCGGCGGTGGCGCCACGGGCAACGGCGAGGACGAGAGCACCCGGGTCGGCTCGCCAGCACCCAAGCGCAACGACGACCGCACGCCCGAAACGTCGTACGAGAGCTCCGAGAACGGGCACAAGATCGCCTTCGACCCGCGCGACATTAGCGAGAATGTGGAAAGAAGCAAGCAGCCCAAGCTGACGCTGATGGAGGAGATTATCCTCATGGGCCTCAAGGACAAGCAGGTGTGTGTGTGCAGGCCCAGGTGGAGGGCAGGCAGCAGGCTGATGCACGCGAATAGGGATACCTCTCCTTTTGGAACGACAACATTTCGTATGCGCTACGAGGATGCATCGTCATAGAATTGGCGTTCCGAGGCCGCGTGAGCATGCAAAAGGACTCGTCGCGGCGACGGTTTCCGCTCGCAGACCGGGTGATTGAGGTGATTGATGACACGTTGACTGGAGAGGTGCTGCTGGACGAGGCGCTCAAGATGATGAAGTCGAGCGAGAAGATGAGCGTCAACTCGTGGATCGACCTCATGAGCGGTATGTTTGGCAGCGCACGCCACCACGACGGCTGCCTTGCAGACAGGCACTGACTTGAGCGCGCAGGCGAGACATGGAACCTGATGAAGATTGGCTACCAGCTGAAGCAAGTGCGCGAACGACTAAAGTCTACCGGTCACATGCTCCTGATATACCAACGCCCGCTGTGGCGAGCGCGCCGTCTCGCTGCTGCTAGGGGGGGCCTGCGCCTACCTGCAGCGCAATGAGACCGCTAGTCGTGCCATGTGCATCATGCCCCCCCCCCCCTCACAGTAGTGAGTCGAGCCGAGTAAAGACGCTCAAGCATGCGGCAACCACCTGTAGTGCCATTGTTAGTCCCGGGGACACCCACGCACCCATGCCACACCGACTCACCTCGAGCTGAAGCTCCTTGTCCTTGGACCCATTGACCTCGTCCGTCACGAGCTGCCCCAGGTTGGCTCCTATGCCCTGTGACCCGCCCTGCCGCTTTGCAAACGGCCACTGCGAGTACTCGGCCAGCAGCTCGTCCACCTGGGCAAAGGCCCGTTCCCGCGCCTCATGCCCCAACGTCGTCAACGCATTCTCCAGCACATTGGCAGCATAAGCAGCACAGACCATGGTAATTGTCCGCAGAACCCTAAACTCCAACTCTTCGGGCAGGAATTGGCTGCCGGGCAGGACCACGGTGCGGTTCGTCAGGACGTTGCGCACCCGGCGTCGAATCTCCTCCTTGGCCCCGCCGTCGGCGACGGGATGTGTGGCCATGTCGAACAGGAGAAAGTTCTTCTTTTCCGTGCGCAGGATGCCCTTGTCCACAAGCCCTTTACAGGGCGCGGAGTGCGGTACTGGAAAAAGTAGAGGGTCTTTCTTGTCCGTCCTTGAGCGTTGATGCAGCTGTGGGGTGCGGAGGGGGGTTACTTCTTCGGCATCATCTTGAGCAGCAGCAGCATCATGATATTCTTCGTCTTTATTTTCATATCCTTCCTGCTGCTTCTTCATCTTCTTCTTCTTCTTCTTCTACTTCTTCTTCTTCTTCTTCTACTACTACTACATGGACGTTTACTTCTACTACTACCTGGCGATTCCGCCTGCAGAATACAACCTTTTATTCCATGTCGCGTGCCCCGCCGGCCGACGGACTGCATAGCGTAGGCGGCGCACGTGACGAGCGTGCAGTGGTAGTGGGAGTGGGAGTGGTTGTGAGAAGGCGGCGCAAAACCACGGCGGGCAGAGAGAGAGACGGCGGCGGCGGCGGCGGCGCGTGTGTCGAGGGGGGGAGGCTCGGCGCCCGCAAGCGGCAACGCAAACCCATCGAGCGCCTTGCCTTGCCTGCCACACAACACATCATCCCGAGCTTATCCACGCCCGCTGCCCGCGCCCCCCCTCACTAAGGCACCGCAGCAACGTGTTTCGCCCATTTCGGATCCTGCCGACTCTTGGGCCTGTCGACGCCGTGCGGACGGGCTGCTGTCGCGCGCTGGACTGCCCGATCGGCACATCTTTGCCTGCACAGCCAAACAGAGAGGCCCGGCCCAGCCCAGCCCAGCCCGGTGCCCTGTGACGACGCGCAATTTGCATGCTCCCAGAGGTATGTAGGTGTTTTTATTTAGTTTGTGTGTGTGTGCGTGTGTGCGCGCGCGCCCGTGTCGCGCCGGTGCGGGTGCGGGTGCGAGTGCTGGTGAAGCTGGCCGTCCATGGCTGCTGGCGCTGGCACTGGCACTGGCACTGGCACTGGCGGGCGGCGGCGGCGGGCGGCGGCGCTGGCACTGGTGTTGCTGTGTCGCTCTCCCGCCCCCCTTCTTCGGGCAGTCGCGACCGCCTGCGACGCCCATTGACCCACGCCGACGTCGACACATCCATCCATCCCCTCTGCCCACACCCACGTGTATGCCGCGGCTCTAACCCGAGCAGCTTCACGCAGGTCGCTCCTGCTGCGCGCACTAGCCTTGCCAGAGCCATGCCCTCTCCGCCCGCTGCCGCCGACTCCACGACGCTCGACTTGTCCCTCGCCCAGCAGCACCAGCACCAGCACCAGCACCATCACCAGCACCATCAACCACCACACCACGCCCACGCCCACGGCGCGTCCACCACCAACGGCTCCCCCGGCGAGGGCGCCGTCCAGCCCCCCAGCGCCCCCCTGCCCAGCATCAATGGAACCGACAGCGCGTCGGCCGCCAGCAACGCGATCAGGGACGGAAAACAAAAGGCAAAGGCCGTCATGGCCGCCTCTGGCCTCAACCTGACGCCCGTCCAGGGCGACCTGCCATCGCCCGCACCCGCCGACGCCATCAACGGCGCGTCGCCCAGCAGAAAGCGATCGCGTTCGGGCACCCGCAAATCGTCGCGCACGCCGTCCCAGGACCACGGGGCGCAACCCACGCCCTCGCAGACGCAGCTGCTCAATCGCTACATTGCGCGCGACCTGCTCGACAGCGTCAACAAGTACGAGCGCAACAAGCACTCGGAGAAGGTCTACGGCCAGCTCAACGATCTGCGCCACTTTTATCGCGACGAGGTCTATCCTGTTCGTCGCCAAAACCCCGGCGCCGTATTTGGCCATGGCTATGCCGGTTACGGCAACGGCGTCACGGACATCCCTCCCGACCCTCGCGACCCCCGCGCTCTTCCCCAGACCAAGCTGCTCTACCCCGAACACGCCAAGCGCGCCGGCCGCCGACTCGCGCCGCAATTGAAGGTGTCGCGGGAGAAGGGCGCGCAGCAGGCCGAGCAGGTTGAAGAGCTTGTCCCAGTGCGGCTGGACATCGAACTGGACAGGCTGAAGCTGCGAGACACGTTTACCTGGAACCTGCACGACCGCGTCACCAATCCCCTCTTGTTTGCCCAGACGCTCGTCGAGGACTTCCAGATACCGCCCGAGCTGCGCCAGAATGTCATGCAACAGATTGATCGCGAGATCCACGAGCAGGTCCAGGACTACTACCCTCACGCCTTCTTCGACGACGAGCCGCTAGACCCCCACCAACCGTACTCGGCGTACAAGAACGATGAGATGCGGATATTGATCAAGCTGAACATTACCATTGGCCAGCACACGCTTGTGGACCAGTTTGAGTGGGAAATCAACAACCCGCTGAATGCGCCCGAGGAGTTTGCACGACAGATGGCCGCGGACCTGTCTTTGTCTGGAGAGTTTACGACCGCCATTGCCCATTCCATAAGAGAGCAGTGCCAAATGTTCACAAAGAGTCTATACATTACAGGACACCCCTTTGATGGGCGACCTGTCGAGGATGCTGACATTCAGGATAACTTTTTAGCCTCTCCGCTCCCCTCTGTCTTCCGGCCGATGCAGTCAACAAAGGACTACCAGCCCTACCTCTACGAGCTGAGCAATGCCGATCTGGAACGGGCCGAACTGTCCATCATGCGCGAGCAGCGACGCCAGAAACGATCGGTCAATCGACGCGGTGGTCCTGCACTTCCAGACCTCAAGGATCGACAACGGACTGTACGCACGCTGGTTGTTTCGTCAGTCTTGCCAGGTGCCGCAGAGACGATTGAGGAGAGCCAGCTCTTCAAGGCGACACGCAAGGTCAGGGAAGGCCGCCGTCGCGCTGAAGGCAGCTCAGACGAGTCGGACAGCGATGAGTCTGTACTCGAGTCGCCTGCGCCCGCGCAAATGACTGGCGGCACTGCTAGAACTCGTGGTATGCGTGGAGCTGCCACTGCTGCTCAAGCCGCAATGCGCTCAGCCATTGGGCGATCAGCGACGCCCGAGGTTTCGACTCTCCAGACTCACCACGAGCCGCGGACAGCCCGATCGCTGAGATATGAAACGCGGGAAGAGAGTGTGTCTGAGCCGACTTCGCTCATAGTCAAACTCCGCATATCATCAGCAAAGTTGAAGGAGTGGCAGGCAAACCCAAAAGCCTTTGCGAAACCCGCTTCCACTCCCATGATGGCTCCCGCGCAAACCCCGGCGCGAAATACACCTTCGGCAAACTCAATGCCTCCGCCACCGTCACCGGCCCTGCCTTCCCGTTCTACACCAGCACCACCGGCATCTGTTGAAGCTTCGCCTCGCCCACCTTCCACCCCCACCCCCACGCCAACTCCATCGACCGAACGACAATATCGACCGGACGGCTCAATGGAGGCGCCTTGGCCAGCTCCTCCTGCTTCGCAACACGTAAGATCCCTTACAATTGTGACGTAGAAAATTGTGTTCTAACCTCCACCAGCCCCAGCCGCCTCCGTGGCTCCAACAAGGGTTGCAGGATCTTCGCGATCGAAACCCTGGTGAACTGTTCGAATCTACTATGCGCTACGCTGTCATGAACGAAGCCGCAGAAGACCCCAAGACTGGCGCCATTGCTCCCAAACAAGTCAGGATAGACACTTTAACCCCCAACGTGCCACTGCCGGCTAATCACAAGGCATACTTCCTGCCTCGGATCCGATGCATGGACTGTCCGGGAAAGCTCTACAATGCAGGACCCGAGCAGACGGTCAACAACTTTGAACTCCACTTGAAGAATCGGGCGCACACGGAAAATGTACGAAAACGAACGGGTCAGTCATCGTAGGGGTAGACAATGAATGCGAGGCCATATCCAACCTCGCAATGTGAGAATTATTTTTTGAAAGAACAGCATGGCGCTATGCACGTTTTTGTCTATATGCACACGCATTTCAGGGTATACAGTCCCAATGTACAAAACAGTAGCTCAAGTTGGAGAGCACGACGAGTTGCGCACAACCGACAACGTGCTGGTGCTTCGGCGTTTTTATTTGTTGGCTAAAAAGACTTGGAAATTATAGCCATCCGTCCCACGTTGGATCACCACTTCCCACAGTGGGGAACCATTGTAAAATTTGGTCTTTTCTCCGAGACTATTTGTGTAACCTTCCTACTTGAATTAGTTTCCAGTGCACTTGGTAGGATCATAAGTAGCGTGGATAATCTGGAACGTGTAGCGATAGAGGTAGATGCAATCGCAAACTTGACTTCAACATTCCAAGTGCCTGTCAGTCTGACTCAACAAGATATACAATAATCCTGGTGTGCTCGACGGTGATCCTTGTCGCAATCATTGTCTGTGTTTTGTTTGGTAAGCATCCAAACCCCTATTACTCTTGCTCTTGGTGCTTCCAAATACTGCAACCAAAAAAGACCGCTCTATTATAGGCATTTGTTATTGTACTATTTTTTGCGCACCAAGAGACTTGCAAGTTACAGCGCCACGTGCTCGGTTCCAGGTATAGCAAGGTTCCTCGTCGAAACGTCATGGAGCTGCGAGCTACCCTCTTCCTCACCACTCTTCTCGCCCTCATCATGAAAGCCCAAACCATGAGCCTGCCCATTCGGATCCTCACCCACAACATCCGCTATGCTGCCAATCCGCCTGCAACAGGCGAGAAACCCTGGTCAATTCGTCGGCAGCTGATGCTCAATGAGCTCCACTACAACACGCTGCACAATCCCGAGGCCTTTATATGTTTGCAAGAGGTACTGCACGAGCAGCTCGTTGACATCATGACGGGTCTCGGTGACGACTGGGCATACATTGGCGTCGGACGAGACGACGGCAAGACGCAGGGCGAGTATAGCCCGGTCATCTACCGAAAGGCAGTTTGGGATCTGGTCAAGTGGCAGACGGTGTGGCTGAACGAGAACGGGACGGTAGGAAAGAAGGGGTGGGACGCGGGCTCGGTCCGCATTGTAACCATTGGCACATTCAAGCACGTCGAGTGCAAGAAGACCATGGTGGCCATGAGCACGCACTTTGACAACGCGGGCCCCATTTCGCGCCGCGAGTCGGCAAAAATCATCCAGAGAGTCACTGCAAACGTCACGGATGCTGCATCGCCTTGTCCTCTTCCCTTCTTCCTCGCCGGCGACCTCAATTCAGAGACCCAGGACGACGCCTACATGATGCTGAATAATGCGTCGACTTCCCTCTTGCGCGACGCAAAAGAACAGGCAAAGTGGTTCTATGGCGATCAGAACTCGTACACGGCGTTTGACGATCAGGTGCTCGCGCTGATTGACTTTGTGTTTGTCGGGCCCCGTGGTGGCGGGGACTGGAGGGTCGAGGGGTACAGTGTGTTGCCGAATAAGTTTGAAGACGGCGTGTATGATAGTGATCATAGGGCTGTTGTTGTGGATGGAGTGTTGCAGGTATAGTGTGGGATTTTCTTCTTCTTCTTCTTCTTCTTCTTCTTCTTCTTCTTCTTCTTCTTCTTCTTCTTCTTCTTCATTTCCCTTTTTTTGCTTTTTTTTACGGCAATTGGAGTTGTGTATTGTATATTAATATCTTCATCGGTAACTTTTTGGCAAGGAGGTATGTATAGTACGTGGGCTTTGTGTGTGTTTTTGGGTTCAGAAGGTTTGCGGCGAGGAGCAGCGGTTGAGAGTTCTGAATAAGTATGTACGTACATTGGTTTTAGGTTAGGTAATATAATTCTGTGCTATTCAGCAGCTAGTGTTGTGATACTGTCCTTGAATTGGCTTTGTACCAGTCAGGCTCAAAGTGAACAAGACATCCACAAGACATCCGCCTGACATAGTGGCGCCCCACCAAGTAGGCCCGCAAGAACGTGAAAACTGCCATGGCTTGATGCTGACAGCGGCTCACAGTTCTCTGCAAGTAGCCTTTGGCATCCAGGTCAGCGGGTGCAACGCATGGAAGAATTTCTTCGAGAAGCCGGCTACCATTCTAGACCAGAAGCTCGTCACAGGTACAGATTCCGCATGCGGAATGCATGCTGTATGCATCCATGGGCGGAAGGGCAGCAGGGCGCAAGTGACGTTGTCAGACGATCGTCGTCATTGGGCTGTGGCTAAGCGAAAGCTCGAAAGCACCCCACTGAGGGGCTGGCTCTAAACACAGGAACAACCTCGCGCACCACTCCAATTCTAGCTCCTGGACCATCTTTCCACCCTCAACTATACTCAAGATGGCCACCGAAGCAGCGGCTGTTGGTAAGCTCGACATCCGCGCCCCCCTTCAACCCGTCGTCGCACAAAGCTATTTTTCCTGGTGAAGGGCTTCTTGGGGCCCGGGTTCGCGAAAGCGTCGCACAAGCTGACAGCTCACGGCAGACTACTCTCTGGCGAACCCAGATACTATCACCAAGTACAAGGTCGCCGCCGACATCTCCCAGAAGGTCCTCAAGGAGGTCTCAGGTACGTGGGCCCCGCGCCATTCCGCTTAGCTTTAAGCTTCGAGGCAGAGCACGCAAATTGACACATTGTAGGATGGATTGCCACCGATGCTAACATTGTCGAGCTCTGTGAGCGCGGCGACAAGCTTTTGGAAGAGGAAGTCTCCAAGGTCTACAAGGGCAAAAAGGTCCAGAAGGGCATTGGACACTGCACCACCATCTCGCCGAGCGCCTACATCACTCCCTACACGCCCCTCAAGTCCGACACCGAGGAGGCCGCCACAACACTCAAGGAGGGCGAAATTGTCAAAATCCAGCTCGGTGCTCAGATCGACGGTTTCTGCGCTATCGTTTGCGACAATGTCATTGTCGGTAACTCTGGAGAAGTCACTGGTCGCGAAGCTGATCTCATTTTGGCTACACACTACGCAAACGAGCTCCTTCTCAGGTTGATGGTTCCCCCCAGTCTGATCCCTTACAGCGACGAGGAGGAGAAGACCAAGGCTGCCACCAAGAAGCCCTACACACAGAGCCAAATCACCAACATGCTGGAGAAGGTCGTCAAGGCTTACGACTGCAACCTCGTCGAGAGCACCACCATCTGGCTTTTCGACCACAACGAGATCGAGTCGAAGAAGAAGATTATCCTTGCCCCTGGCGAGGGTGTCCGAGGTGAAGGTCTGCCCGAAGCCGGCGAGGTTTGGGGTGTTGAGATGGGCGTCAGTCTGGGAAGCGGCAAGGTCAAGAACAACAGCAACCGCACTACTCTGCATCGCCGCACAGCCACCACCTACCAACTGAAGCGCCCGACTTCCCGAACGCTCTTGTCCGAGGTTGTCAAGAAGTTTGGAACTTTCCCCTTCAGCTTGCGACAGCTTGAGGACGAGAAGGCCGCCAAGGTTGGTGTTGTCGAGTGCGTCCGCACTGGTGTGCTTCGCCAGTACGAAGTCGTTGTCGACAAGGACAACCAGCCTGTGGCTAGGTTGTTCTCCACTGTTTGTAAGTTTATACATCCCACGTGCCTATTCTATGCTGCTCGATTGCGCCGTTGTGTTTCATCATCGGAACCATACTATGGCTTGCTTAAACAGCAAGTGTAAAACTAGAGTCTATAGCTAACTTTGAGGCAGCCATTGGCAAGAACGGCATGCAGCGCCTAGCTCAGCCCCCTCCTATTGACCTCTCCAAGTACAAGTCTGAGAAGAAGATTGAGGACGAGGAAATCCTCAAGATCCTGGAGCAGCCCATTGGAAAGACATCGACAAAGAAGACCAACAAGAAGAAGAAGAAGAAGCCCGCAAAGAAGGCCGATGCTGGAGCCGCCGCCGCCGAAGAGGAGAGTGACGATGAAGAGTAGGCGTAGATCGCAGAAATCTATAGCTCCACTCACTCTTTTTCGAAGCAAATCCGGAAGATGGTCGATTGTTTCGAGAGCGTTCAACGGCATCCCAGCAGAGACACAGATGCTGCCTTAAAAAAAAATAGGTGTGCCATGTACCATGGGTAAAGTCCATGATTAAGTAGATGCGATAGCAACCTCCAAAAGATCAGTTCTCCGGAAACGTTCTAGCCTTGATTCTGCGTGACGATTTCAGAGATTTTCCCAAGTATGATGCGATCCCGATACGAGGTCTACCTAATCGCTCATCGCTCACCGCTCATCGATTGCGAAACGTCTACCTTTATCTACGCAACAGTTGTATCTTCAGCGTGTTAAGCATCGGAGAATATAAGAGTGTAATAGGATTCAAGGTAGAAAATGCGAAATGTGTTCTGATTAGGGGATAGCGAGGGAGGAAGCTCCACCCTGCATCGCGTATGGGGTTCCTTTGGCTATCTGGCCGAATTCTCCTTACGACGCTTCTGTTGCCCATACACTTATCGAAGCGGGATCAGAATACTTTGCTGCGATTAAACAAGCAGGGAATCGCTGGATAACCAAGCTTGCTGCATTTTTCATTTGATTACTGAGCAGACACTGAGTAGGAGTAGATGCAGCCTGGGAGCAAAGCCTTACCCCTGAGTCAACTGTGCACAATTTTTATTGTCGAGAGCATGAGGCCACGCGGTTGCTATTGATGCCAGTGTGCAGAAAGTAACATCCAATCACAGCCCCGCAAACTGACGAGGTGGGCGTCGGCTGATGAAGGTGAGAGTAGAGGACCTCACGGAAAAAGCGGAGGTTGGTCTCCTGTGGTCACCCCCAGTCTCTGTACAATAGCACCGACCCAAAAACCCGGCACGGGCTGACAAAAGAATAGTTTGATCTTGACTTCCACGGCCTATCGCCAGACCAAACCCCAGCCACCGACCTGGTGCTGCGACCTTCGCCTTTGTGTAGGGGGCTGACATAATAAAGAAGGCCCGTCCAAGCGTCCAGGGCACCCTCGAACAGCCTTGTACACGCTCATTCTTGCACGATCGACCCACCAACACCGGGCTCGGCATTGCGGCGTGTAAAATTCCCGGACAGCGTGTGAAGTGAGTGCGGAGGTGTTTTCGTCAAATACAGCGCGCTGACCAAGTTGCAGTTTCGCCATGCCGGCCCTCCGCAAGTCTGCCCGGGAGCGCGACTTTCGATCGCATCAAAGGTCGAGCACCACACCTTACGCCTCGCCCACTGGTACACCAAGCGACGCTGTCTACGACAAGAAGCAGCGCTCAATCACCGAGTGGACGGAGCCCCAACCGCAAACTCTGGCGCCCTCGTTCGAAGAGCACGGTTTTGCGCGGCACGGTGTCTTGGAGAATATGGCTCCTCTCGGTGTACCCCCCAAAGCGAAGGACAAGCAGCGCGCGCGCGCTCTCGAAGGGCCGGCTCCTCGAAACTCATCGCTGGGAAAAGTGAACATGGCTTTTCGGGACGAGGTTGGGTCTACGCCAGAGGTTACTCCGGCTCCCGAGCTTGAGCCTGACGACTCTGAGCGCCAAGAGGAGGACGAGATGCGGGTCGGCTTTCCTGTCCTGGAGGATGAGGAGGACGACGACTACGAGCCCACCAAGGCGAAAAAGAAGGTCAAGGTCTCCAAAACGCCTGTCAGGGGCAAGACGCCGGTGCAGAGCAAGACGCCTGTCAACGGCAAAACGCCCGTGAAAAACGGCTTCGGCAAGAGCACGTCGGTCTCGGCGAGCCCAGCTGTGCAGGCCATTTCCATGTCGGAGCCCGTCGAAGCAACCACACAGCGCATCCAGATTGCGGTCAACGACGCCATTTCCAAGGCCAACAGCAGCAAGGGCAGGCGCTACGTAGGCATTGCTCTGAAGCGCGCTTTTGAGCAGAGCAAAAATGACCCGGAATTAGCCGAAGCCATGGATGCAGTCATCCATGAGAGGAGCACGAACCAGCAGTATCGCCGTTTTCGCAAGTTCATCAAGGAGATCAAGCTCGAGGAAAAAATGAAATTGGGTCTCACCCGAGATAGGCGCTTCGACCAGCAGACTGCAGCGAATAACGGCGCTTCGTTCTTCAGCCAGCAGTCATCACCCCGGGCGAGCAGCGAAGTCGTTCCTGATGACTCTGTTTTGACTGTATATGAATACCAGGACCAGCATCTCAAGCACTCCACCAAATCGGAACACAAGGCATCGCAATCAGTGTCCGACCAAAGTTCTGCGACTGCCCCTCACCCGTTCAGCTCGGCGCCGGCCTTGCCAGTAGCAACCAACTCTGCTGAATCAACTCCTCGAATGCCCTCAAAGTCACCCCGAAAACGTGCCTCTACCAATGGAAAATCTGCGCCAGACTCTGCTATGGACATGGATGGTGGCGCCTCTACGGCGGCGCCCACGCCCGCGGCAAGGACGCCCGACACTGGTGCAAGCGATTCCGAGCTCTCAGATGTGAATGAAGAGATAGTCCAGAAGGGTCCCCCCGAACCAGTGCAGGTCAACGAAAAAAGCGTCGCGCCAGCAGCAGCATCGGGAACAAAGAAGGGCAAGAACATTGCACACGCACGCGCTGCGAAAAAGGCGAAAGCCAACGCGGGGAAGCTGTTCGGCAAGCATGCCTACAAGCAGCAGCCACTTACTGCAGAACAGCAGGCGGAAGACGATCGGATCTATCAGATGCGCAAGTCCATGGTGGACGAGCAGCCTATCCGCCAGTTTGACCATATCCAGCCTCCAGTGTCGGATGTTCGCTTCGACGATGAGATTCTTGAGACGGAATCTCTGACGGAATCCCAGATCGCTGTAGGGCCACCCATGGACTCTGATCAACCACGGCGTCCTGGGCGAGCTCCAAACCATGGCACCAAGCGTATACGGGATGATCCGCTCCGGTTTTCTTCGCCGCAGTCCGAGCCAGCTGCAGCAACGCGGCCTTCGACACCAGCCGTGGGGCCAGCGCCAAAGCGGGTCAAGCTTACCAACAGCCAAGGTGCCAGAACCAAGCGATCGTAAGTGTTTCTCTCCTATCCATGCAGCACTGGCTTCGAGGCCTTGAGAACATTAGCGGATGCCTGTACCCGTTCAGCACAGTGCTCTCAGGGCGTCTAGTGAGCAAGCTCCTGCGTGTTTGCATCGTACAATACCATGAGTCACATCGAATCATCAGAAAACTAACCGTTACACATATAGACCAGTCAAGAACCGGGATGCAGGGCCTATTGCTGGTGTAGCCTTTACTGGCGGTGGCGGTTCGAGACAGTTGGGGCCTGATGACAATGACCCTGTAAGTGCCACTCGAAACCCGATGCATTCGACCACACCATTCCTCTTCCACCACACACCTCATCAACGACTTTTTCTCTTTCCATCTCCCACCACCCATGTTGCTCACTACAAACATTACTCCTCCCAAATTTCCATACTCACCTCCACTTTCGGTCCTTTCCTCCCCTCTAACAGAATGCCAGAACTCGCCGCAGTCGGAGAGCGACGACTTTTGCTCTGCGTGTAGGGGCGCGGGCGAGTTTGTATGCTGCGAAAACTGCCCACGCGTTTTCCACCTGCTATGCTGTGATCCACCGCGAACAGAGGTGCCCGATGGTGCTTTCTACTGCTACGAGTGCAACGCCAAGTTCGCTGCACCCGACGACTCCGAAGAGGTTCATGCTAGCCTTGGACCGCTTTTCAGTAAGCTGGAGCGTACCAACCCTCGTGCGTTTGCGTTGCCCCATGACATTCAGAACAACTTTGAAGGCGTCTCTGCACGTCCCGATGGATCCTATTTCGAGGAGGTCAAGAAGTTCCCTCTGTAAGTGTGACGCGTCCCATCGCGTGATGTGGCACTAACACCGACGATAGGGCGAAGAACAGTGGTTATGGCTACCAGAAGCCAGAATACACAAAGGTCATTGACAGCGACCAAAAAGTCATTCTGTGTGTCCAGTGTGGCTTGTCGAGTGGCAACAAGCGCCAGATGCTCAAATGTGACTTTTGTCACGCGTACTGGCACTTGGACTGCGTTGACCCGCCTCTCGCTAACCCGCCACACATCAGCCTGGAGGCGTCTCAGCGCGATGCCTGGAAGTGTCCTCGACATGTTGACCATGATCTTCGCAGCGGCTTGCTGGTGCAGCACGATCTGAGCTCTACCGAGCACGATGCTGAGATGAGCAATGCGCCAGTTGTCCGCGTCGCGCGTAGAGTGCGAGTGCGCAAGCACTCTGAGTACATTGAGCCAACTTTCTCACGCGGCATGCGCAACAACGGTTTGATCGAAATCACCAACGATCCTGACGACGACACTGACGGCGAAGGCAACTATGTGTTTGGTGACAACGACCCCAAGGATATCAACTCCAAGATCTTCCGCGTACCGGAAAAGGGTGTCATCCTTGATTTCGTCAGCAAAGTCAAGAGGTATGTACAGCCACATCAGCACGGCATGCTAGCAAGCAACTAATGCATCGCCCAGTGGCCGTGTTATGAAGAAGCACCAAGCACCCAAGGCTGCGGAGGCTGCGGCCCAACGCAACACGGCTATGCAGAACTATCTAGCCCATTCCATCGAGCAGCAGCAAGCAGCACTCACGCTGGCACAGCTGGCAGGAAAGGAGCCGGACCTGAACCTGAGCGAGGGCAAAGTTCATGCGCTCATCTACAGTCTCACCGTAAGACTTTCTTCCTAGGCCCCACATGCCTTGTTTTGTGATCATTGGCGCTAATCCATCCGAAACAGTCCGAGGCTCCTCCGAACGTCATTGCTGCCATGGCCAACGCAAACCCGCCACCGCCTTCGCAACAAGAGCGCGCACAGCTGGAGATGCTTCAACAGCTGATTCAGCGTCGACTTGGAGCTTGAGCGCTGCCCCCAGCAACACTGCATCTGAATCTTATCATCTGGCCCGGCTGTAATCACACCACCGTACAACCTGGATGTGAAACATCCCCCACATACCCTCAAACCCAGGAATGTATGTATTCCTCTACATACATACATACACCCACGATATCCCTTCCAAGGTATCAAGTGCATCGTCGACAAGCTGGCTATGGAGACGCGCTGCCTCTGCCCAGCCTCCTTGTCTGGCTTGCAAACTCGAACACGACACTTGGTCGCTAACGGACGCGCGCGGCACGGCCCTCGCCGACACGTCAATGAACTTTTTTTCCAGTCCCCTTTTGAAAAGCAAAAAGCCGTTTTCCTTGCATATGTCCTGTATTTTGGGGCGGACCTTTGTTACCACTACTACTACTACCACTACCACGATGCGTGCGGATTTTTTTTCAGCGCTCCCTCACATTCTATGTATGGGGGGGGAGTTTTCTCACAGGTACAAGAGCTCATTTAGCAGCAGCAGCAACAGCAACCAGCGCCCTGCCCACCCTCTACCCCCCCTTCTTTTGTTTCGCAGGGCGCGCATGGCTTTTTAAACGCTGTACCACAAATGCATAGCGTAGGAGTTTGTTTGATCGGCACCACCCTTTTTTTGTACATTTTTACATGGTTTAGTGGGTTGAAAAGGAGCTGGGTTTCCTCCCCCCCCCTCTCTCTCTCTCACTTTCGTGCCCCCCCTTTGCCCACAAACTCTCCCTCTCCCTTCCCCCCACCTTTTTTGTTTTCTCTACATAGCCATTTTTTTTCTTCATCTTGGCTCTGCGGCGTACAGGAGCGTGGGAACGGCAGCCGGTCACAGGCCACCTTAACTTTTCCCAGTATGAACTGCTAACTACACTGTTTTTTTGGCTGCGGAGGAAGTTTGCATATCAAACTTTCTGATTCACATCCCATCACCCTCCTCCCCCCCCTTTTTTTTCTCTTACTCTTCTTGTTCTTTCTTTCTTGGGACAAGAAGGCGCGAACAAATATTGATGGGTATGGTATCGTATGGGAACGGGAACAGGAACGCAGGGGATATGTATAGGGAGAGAAAAAAGATGATTTAGGCCGCCCCAACTTCTTGTGTTTCTTGTGTTTCTTCCTCTTCTTATAGTCCAGCTGCGAAAATAAGAAACAACAACACACGGTGTATACGGGATTATGGATATAAGGCGTGCTCATGATTTCACATATCGTTTGCTTGTGAATTATTTATTTTTTGATGCTGTTATTAGGGGTGGTGGAAAGGGGGGAAAAGGTGCTTTTGGGGACGGACGATCAGGGGGTGGTGGGTTGGGTTGGGTTGGGTTGCGTGGGTTGTGAGCGGGACAAAAAAAAAGGGTGGGGGTCAAATGCCGGGTTCAAACTGGGTTCATACCAAAATGTTCGGACACGTTGCACACGCACACGCACACACACGCACAGATTCCGTGGCATCATGGGGAGGGGCGGGACATGAGAACAACGACCAGGGCCTTTTTCTTGGGCACCCTTGAAGAAGAAGCCTTGGAATCAAGAAAAAAAAGAAAAAACAGTACGTTTGAGAAAGCTGATTGGACGAGATATGATGGCACTATGATTCGTTTACCGCCTTGTCTACTAGTAGTGTGACGTGAGGCCATGTTTTGCTGGCATAGGTGGAGGGCATCAGCCCTCGCTACTGTGTGGATCCCGTGACGTGAATCATGTGTTGTTGACTGTACCCCGGGTTGTTCGGCATAAAAAGCAGCGGGTTAACAAAGAGTTCAGAAAATGGAAAAAAAAAGTTCTAAATCAAAAGCTTGCTCAAGGCTTGCAGCGGCCAAAGTAGCGGGGATACAGGCAGCAGTCCCGAACAGTGTGTTGCTTGCACAGCCAAGCAAGGAAGCGTTCTAGACCGAGACCATAACCGCCATGGGGAGAGGAGCCGTACCTAAAAAAGGTCTTGTCAGCAAAACAGCAGGCAAGGCAGACGCGGTTGGGTGCCAACTTACTTCCTCTGGTCCGTATACCAGTAGTATGCCGCGGGATCAATTTGCTCTCTCGCAAACGCAGCCATTAGCTCGTCGAAGTTGTCCATCCTCATGCTGCCTCCAACAATCTCGCCAACACCAGGCATCAGGCAGTCTACGCTCTCTGTTACCCTTGGGTCCTCCTTGTCCTTCAGCATGTAGAAGGCCTTGATCTCGGTGGGGAAATGCGTCAGGAAGATGGGCCTGTTGATAATGTCCGTCATTCTTCGCTCCGCGGCCTCAGCAATATCGTCGCCAAACTTGTGGGGCTCGCCATCTTCGTTGGGAATCTCGTGCTCAACGAGCCAGTCAATCGCCTCTTGGTACTTCATGCGCTTGAATGGTCGCTCGGGAAGTTTGAACTCGGGGTTGAGGTCCATGATGTATTGCTTGATGACGGGGTCGGCCATTGTGACGTCCAAGACGCGGCACATGACCTCCTCGAGATGGGTGAGCAGATCGTCAAAGTTGATGTAGTCCAGTTCGGCCTCAATGTGCGTGTATTCAGCCAAATGACGGCGGGTCAATGACTTTTCAGCACGGAAGGACTTCTCAATGCAATACACGTCTCCCATCGAGGGCAAACATGTCTCGAGGTAGAGTTGAGACGACTGGGTAAGGTAGGCCTCCTCGTTGTAGTAGCCAAACTTGAAGAGCGTGGCACCGCCCTCGACCTGGGTTTGGACGAGCGCCGGCGGGCTGACCTTGCGTAGTCGGAGCTCCTTGTAGACCTGGTTGAAGGCAAACTCCACGGCATCACGGACAATCATGACCTTGGAGGCAGTCTCTCCACGAAGAGTGAGGTGTCGCAGATCCAGCAGGGTCGCGTGCTCAGTGTCCTTTGATACTCTGTTGGTGATGGCGTCGTCACCACCTGCTGCCCTCCAGCCATCATGAATCTTGTAGTAGTCGGCGTGCAGTTCGCGGTCGTTGGGCGCATGGGCACCGGCAGGGATTTGCCTCAGCTCTCCAAAAATCTCCATGCTGGTTTCGCGAGTCAAGGTGAGGGCGTCGTAGGTTTTTGCAAGGTTACCAGTGAAGATGACCTGCATGTAACCGTAACCGTCTCTTAGAGTGACGAACATGACATCCTTTTGTCTTCGCTCACGGTGCACGCGACCAAACACTCGCACTCGCGTGCCCTTTGTGTCCTTGCCGTCTCCCAGCGTGATGGTCTTTGGGTTGGTGTCGTCAAGCTTGATCTTGATGGCTTGTGGGAGGCTCTTGTCCTCTTCTATAACGACCTTCTTGGCCTCTTCCAGGACCTTGTTGCGGTCTGCCTCCTCCTTCATGCGCTGGGCAAGCAGACCCTGCTCCTTCTCGGCCTTCTTCTTTTGCGCCTTTGCATAGTTGACAGCCTTCTTCATAGCCGATTTGGCGACCTCCTTCCATTCCAACCTCGAAGACGCATCCGCGCCTTCTGCGACTTCTCCCGTGACGCTCTTTCGGGTAAGAAACTTGGCTGTCTCGCCGCGGGTCAGGACAGCGTATCCAAGAGACTTGTAGGGCAGTGACTCGTCGCCCGTCTGCTCTGCGATGTCCTGACCGACATCCTCGTCGATGTAGTAGGTAGGCTCGGCCATGGTGGCAGCAATTGGTGGGTAGGCGTCCTCTGGGTGGTGTTGGGCGGGTTGTTTGCTGTTGTTGGAAATATATTGAGTGGGCGCGGGGTGACTCAAATGGACCCCTCCACAGGCTCCGTGCACCGCCTAGGTAGGGCAGGTACGTGAAGCGCGACATGTATCGATAAGGTTAATTGACTCGGGCTTATCTCCTACCCCATGCTGGTTACTTGGATAAAGCATTGAAGCGTGTGCGCACTTCACCGCTGATTGCTACACGAGATGCTGACCACCCTGCGTGCACGTGGAAAGGGCACCTCCTCGACTTCATCTCCAGCTGCATGCGACTCGCCATGGGCCGGATCTGGTGACCTCGTCGACAGTGCATTTGGCGTCCCTAGTCAATAGTCGCGTCTGCCATGGCTCTAATTCCGCGCTGACAAACAACGCTATTGGTCAGGTAACTAGTAAATGACACAATACTCGGCCATATAAACTCGCAGTGGGCAATCAGCTATCATGAGCCACACGAGACTAAATCTATTCTTTTGGTGACTCAACCCGAGTATGGCGGACCCTAGAAAATACACATATGACTCCCCTCTGAAGGGCTATGAGAATTGTGAACCACTGCCCAAGTACGTTGTGATTTTCTGGGCTACCTTGTTTAATCATTCGAGTTCTACGCTATGATTGCGGTCCGCAGCTGCTAAGATACCCATAGTGAAAAGGCCGCGGACGGCAAATCCTACGTAAACCCCCCAACAGGTCGGCTCAGCGATGCCTACAAGTCCTTTGTATCTCCCATAACGAATGGCATTCGGGGAGGGTTTGAGTAAGAACAATCAACTCCGCCATATACTTACCCGACGTTGACGGACAATTCCAGTATCCACATCTACTTTCTTCAGACCGATGAGGAAGAAACCAAGTTTGCCAATGAGCTCTGGGAACGTATACGTCGCGAGTGTAGGACAATCCCTATTCTTGATATAGCAATATCTAACCAAAGTAGTTCCTGAATTGCGCATCTACAGAGTATGGGACCGGCCAATTGGACCCCATCCTCTTGCAATGTTTGAGGTTAATCTATTTACCCCAGGTGAGTTTCAACCCCATGGTCAGAGCTTTCATTCATGTCTGGCAGAGCAATTCGGCGCATTTATACCTTGGCTAGTAATAAACCGAGGTCCGCTTTCAGCCTTGGTCCATCCAAACACAGGCGACGAAGAGAGAGACCATACACAGCGTGCGACATGGATGGGACAACCGCTCCCTATCTACTGGAACAAGTTGAATCGCCCGTAGCAGCCAAAGCCTAGCTTTGTCAATGCAATAAAGACGTCAGAACTGATATGAGGAGGCAGAAATGCGCATGCTTGAATGTAAATGTATTTGCCGAGATCATGTCTGTCGCAGGCGCAATCGACTGATACCACAAGCTCCGCCTGTTGCGGTTCATGCTTCTTTGAATATCCCCCTTTCGATCACATAGCTGTGACCTTTGTTGAACAGCACCTCTTATGGTGCCCTTGAACCCGATATTGCCCCTTTCGATACCTGAGTCGTATCAATGGCGCCGTTCGTACACACGACGAAGCAACTTGTGCGCGATACGTTCGCAAGTCAATGCCATCGTCCTCACGCCTTTGTCTCGCCCTTCTTCTTTTTCTTGGTCTTCTTCGCTTTTTTCTTATCTCGCTTCTTCAATCCAGTCATGCCCGTCTTGCACGCCTCTGCGTATCGCGCATAGAATCCATCCAAGTCTTCTGGCTTGACCACGGTGCTCAGCTCTATCTTGTCGACATTTTTCCTGTCTGTTCCTGCTTTCTTGTCGCTCTTGTTGTTGTGTGCGCGGATCAATACAGGTAGCGAATCCTCAGGATGAGTGTCCCATAATGGGTCGTCGGCAACTTTGTTCGCGGGAGGTGGTGTAGCGGTTGTACCGAATGTCATGCGCTTCTGTACGAGGTAGACGCTGCCGTGGCCTTTTGTTCGTGTGTACTCGAAGAGGTTGGCGAGTTTTGCAAAGAACTAGACTGGCGTCAGAGCAGGCCGGGTTTCTGCATGCTTTTCATCCCGCACCTCATCGTTGCTCAAGTGTTCTCGCCCCATTGTGAATGTTGTGTGCTATATTAGTCGCGCCATGGAGGTGGTAGGCTGCATGGTGGGATGCCCGCAGCCGTCAGTGCGAGGCGGAGACGCGGGGAAATCTCACCCAAACTCCGACCCTCGAACTTTTTTGCGACAAACCACCGCCTCAACCATCTCATCATGCGCAAAGCGTTCGGAGGGCCAAAACTGCCCATAGAGCTGCGAAATCAAATCGGAGGTATGTGAGACTCAGCATGAACATATTCGAAAGACTAAAATTGGCAGACCCGGCGAATAACAAGCAGCGCAACGGATCGCGCAATGGACCACTGAATCGCAAGGACAGACGCAAAGCCGATCGCGTAGACAAGAAGCAACAGAAGAAGCAGGTTAGAAAGCCACCACCATCATATCCTCAACATGGCCGAGCGCCGCGCCGCGAATCTCGGTCGGAAGATGAGGAGGAAGAGGAGGTAGATTGGGACAACATCGAATCAGACGCTACGCCACCGCCTGTAGAGAAAAAAGCACCAGAGAAGCCTTTGAGGGGAATACTCAAAACGAAGCCATCCGTATCAGAAGAAGCATCACCTCCGCCAGCGAAGATATCACGCGCCACAAGAGACAGACTTGCCCAGGATGATGCCGAGATTGCTGCATTAGAAAAGAGGCTAGGCGTCAAAGGCAAGAAGAAATCCAAAGGAGCGGACGACGGCCTCGATGCCATATTTGGGGACCTTGGGGATCTTGGAGAATTTAGCGATGAAGAGGATACACAGCCTACAAAGCGTAAAAGAGATGAAGATGACGACTGGCTTGCAAGTAAGAGGCGGAAAGCTTTGGGTCAGCAACCAGAGGAAGACGAGGAAGACGAGGAAGAAGCGTTCGATTCGGACGACGACTTGGACCTAGAAGAGGCGGGCTTCGATGATGACGAAGACGAAGCAGAGGATGAGGAAGAGGACGATCTAGAGTCTGAGGATGACGAAGTCGAAGATGCAGAACCAGAGCAACCTAAGATACGAGAGAATCCATACGTGGCCCCCGTAGCGCCGGATGCCCAGCCGACCAAGTATATACCGCCTGCACTTAGAGCACCGCCTTCGTCGGATGCGGAGGCTTTACAACGTCTTAGGAGACAGATACAGGGTCTCTTCAACCGTCTTTCAGAAGCCAACATACTATCCATCTTGCGCGAAATCGAGACCATCTATCAGAACAACCCCCGTGGATACGTCAACAACACCCTGGTTGACCTGTTCATTGGCATGTTGTCAGACCCCACTGCTCTCCTGGACACATTTCTCAACCTGCACGCCGGTTTCATTGCTGCCATCTACAAAGTCATTGGCCCCGATTTTGGCGCGCAAATGGTGGAACGAATTGTTGCGGAATTCGACCGACATTACGAGGGCAACAAGGGAGGCTCTGGAAAGCAGACGTCAAATTTGATGTCTGTGGTAGCAGAGCTATACACTTTCCAGGTCATTGGCAGCAACATCGTCTTCGACTACATTCGGTTCTTCCTCGAAGAGCTCACAGAAATCAACACCGAACTTCTGTTGCGAATAGTGAGGGCATCCGGTCCACAGCTACGCCAAGACGACCCGACTTCCCTCAAGGACATTGTCATTCTTCTCCAAAAGTCCGTAGCCAAGGTCGGCCAAAGCAACCTACCGGTTCGCACCAAGTTCATGATTGAGACAATCACCGACCTCAAAAATAACAAAATGAAAACTGGCATAGCATCCTCGGCAATCTCCCGAGAGCATACCACGCGAATGAAGAAGCAGCTGGGCACACTCAACTCTCGGAATCTCAAAGCGACCGAACCACTACGGGTTGGTTTGAAAGACATCAAAGATACCGAGAAGAAAGGCAAGTGGTGGCTAGTAGGAGCGAGTTGGCGCAACCAACCGGGTAATGAGGAGCCGGCCGAAGACATCAGAAAAGTTGATCGGACTACGACACATGTTGGTGACGAAGACGACGACAGCGAAGTTGATCTTTTGCAGCTTGCACGTGAGCACCGCATGAACACCGACATTCGACGGGCCATCTTCATTTCTATAATGTCGGCCACTGACTTCAAGGATGCACAAGTGCGACTGAACAAGCTCAACCTCAAAAAGTCCCAAGAAGCAGAGATACCGCGAGTCATTGTGCATTGTGCGGGTGCCGAAAAGACCTACAACCCGTACTACACTGTTCTTGCGCGCAAAATATGCTCGGACCACAAGACACGAAAAAGCTTTCAGTTTGCGCTCTGGGACATATTCAAGAGTTTAGGGGAAAAGCAAGATGGTGGTGACGACTCCGACGACGAGGATGACGAGGCGGGCAGTGACACCTCTCTTCGGAAACTTGTCAATCAAGGCAAGCTATACGGCACATTGATTGGTCGCAAAGCCATGCCTATTACCAGCCTAAAGAACCTCAACTTCGCCTACTTACAGCCGAAAACCAAGACGTTTGTTGAAGTCTTGCTTGTCACCACGATCCTGGAGGCATTGAAGTCATCCAAGACCAAAGACAAGCGCGACGAGCGGGCTGTACGCGAGGTCTTTGTGGAAGCGGACCAAGCGCCTGAAATGATTGCTGGTCTGCAGTTTTTCCTGAAGAAGACGGTGGGCAAGACGGAAATAGTCGAGAGGCCGGAAAAAGAAACCGTGCGGTGGGCGTGCAAGTCCGTCATGGACATGCTAACTAGAGTGTTGGCAACCACCACCTTGCAGGAAGACTAGACCGTTGACGAAAATACCCCTCTATTTGCATGTTTGGTAGTAGTTATCAATTTGAGTAGCGTGGTGCAAGGAGGTCGTGATGTTAAACAAATGTGAGGCAGTTTGTCAGCTTGGCGCCACCGCCCGCCCTTGACCCTACGGAAGCCGCATAGGCCTTCCCAGCCGAGCTCCGCAAAAAGCTCAACCACATCTCTCATCCCACGCCCCATCCATTGACGCCTGTCATCCCAGCCGTATACTTTACGGCTTCTTTTGGTTGCGTTCCCCCGGCTATATTCAGCATGTTCCGCTCATTGGCACCCCGCGCCATCCAACGGGCGTCGCGACCCGTCACTCGAAGCACATTCTGCGCCTCCAACATTTACTTCCAGAACCGGTTACGACGCGGATATGCGTCAGAAGCTGGTGAGTCGCATCGCCGCGAAGCGTCGGTTGGGTACATGTGCTAACTGCTGCGCAGAGGAGAAGGACCTGGTCATCATCGGCGGCGGTGTCGCAGGCTACGTCGCAGCCATCAAGGCTGGGCAGGCGGGCATGAAGGTTGGCATGATACTTCCGGATAATGGCACGAACAGAAAGTTGACGCAAGACGCCAGGTCACCTGCATCGAGAAGCGTGGCTCCCTCGGTGGAACCTGCTTGAACGTCGGTTGCATCCCCTCCAAGTCCCTCCTCAACAACTCGCACCTCTACCACCAGATCCTCCACGACACCAAGGGCCGCGGAATTGAAGTCGGCGATGTCAAGCTCAACCTTCCCGCCATGATGAAGGCAAAGGACAGCTCTGTTTCCGGTCTTACAAAGGGAATCGAGTTCCTCTTCAAGAAGAACAACGTCGAGTACATCAAGGGCACTGGCGCATTCCAGGATGAGCACACCATTGCCGTCAACCTCACCGAGGGTGGCGAGACCACCGTCCGCGGCAAGAACATTCTCATCGCCACCGGTTCCGAGGCTACACCTTTCCCCGGTCTGACTATCGACGAGCAGAAAGTCATCACCAGCACTGGCGCCATTGCCCTCCAGGAAGTGCCCCAGAAGATGACTGTCATTGGAGGTGGTATCATTGGACTGGAGATGGTATGGCGACGTTCAATTGGTTATTTGGCTATACTGACGCTGGATAGGCCTCCGTTTGGTCGCGCCTCGGCGCTGAAGTTACCGTTGTTGAATTCTTGGGCCAGATTGGCGGCCCCGGTATGGACAACGAGATTGCAAAGCAGGCCCAGAAGATCCTCCAAAAGCAAGGTTTGAAGTTCAAGCTCAACACCAAGGTTACTGCTGGTGAGGTTCACGAAGCTGGTGTCAAGGTCAGCGTTGAGGCCGCAAAGGGTGGAAAGGAGGAGACTGTGAGTTAACCTGAGCGATCCAAGCTGGTATATTGCTGACTTACCTAGCTCGACGCCGACGTTGTCCTCGTCGCTATTGGTCGCCGCCCATACACTGCCGGACTTGGTCTGGACAACATCAGCCTTGAGACTGACGAGAGGGGCCGCCTGATCATCGACCAGGAGTACCGCACCAAGATCCCCCACATTCGTGCCATCGGAGATTGCACCTTTGGCCCTATGCTTGCCCACAAGGCTGAAGAGGAGGCCGTCGCTGCCATTGAGTACATCCACAAGGGCCACGGCCACGTCAACTATGGCGCCATCCCCTCTGTCATGTACACCCACCCTGAAGTCGCTTGGGTCGGCCAGAACGAACAGGAGCTCAAGGAGGCCGGTATCAAGTACAAGACGGGAACCTTCCCTTTCACAGCCAACTCAAGAGCCAAGACCAACCTCGACAGTGACGGTATGGTCAAGTTCTTGTCAGATGCTCAGACCGACCGGATATTGGGTATCCACATCATCGGTCCCAACGCCGGTGAGATGATTGCCGAGGGCACGCTCGCTCTGGAATACGGTGCCAGCTCGGAGGGTAAGTGCAAAAAGACTGAATATGTGCTTGAACCATCACTAATGAGGATGCAGATGTTGCACGAACATGTCACGCTCACCCTACCCTTGCTGAGGCGTTCAAGGAGGCTGCAATGGCCACCTACGACAAGGCTGTTCACTACTAGATTCCCCAATTTCGGTCAGGCTTTTCTTTCATGCATCAGCGACACAATGTTCGAGCTCTCGGGCGTGCGAGCAGGGGGTTATGAAGAGTACTTTGTAGAATATATCTGATGCGTCATGCTCGCCAATCAAATGCTAGTGAATCATGTGTACGTGATGTGGAGCCGGTAGGGCTGATAACCCTGCTAGCGGCATTTGTCGCGTGCACGTAACGCGTGCGTACCGCGATTTGAAGATCTCGGATTCAATTCCACTCCTCCCTTGTCCGCTTACGTGCACACCACCCACGCCAATCACGACAATGAGTAACGACGAGATTGAGCAACGCTGCAATACGCTACGGCAAGACCTAAAAGTATGGGAGAAGAAGTTCGCGGCCGAGAACCAGGGCCGGAAGGCCGGACGCGACGACATCAAGGCCAATGCCGAGATTTGTATGCACAGAGGAGACCGGGACGTGCCGCAATCAAGCTGACAACCATGCAGCGCAAAAATACAAAGAATATAACAAACTGAGGGCTAGGCTCTCGAGCAAAGCAGCACCGGAGACACCTTCGAAACGAACAGCAAGTCGCGATGCACTCGCAGACACGGAGCGCACGTCCAAGGCTGCACCCAAGGATATAAATACCACGCCCATGAAAAGGAAGCGGGACGAAGATGATTTCTCAGAAAACGTAGATGCAGCTGAGCTCCTCTCTCCACAAGGACCTGCAGTAATCGGACCAACCCCGCAACGTGATGGCATAGTACTAGGCCTGTTCGATATGCTTCCAGCGGACACACCGAGCAAATCAAGGACCATTCTGGGGGAAGTTGGGCTGAATGTACCAAAGACACCCAGTAAGAGGTTGCATGATGAAGGGAACGAGGCCTCGCCGGAGTCGAGAGCAAGAGGCGAGAAGACACCACTATCGGCTGGAAAGCGCTTTCTATTGAACCAGTTTGTCACGCCAAAGAAGAGGAAGTTGGACGAGGAAGGGACACCATCATCTACATTGCGTGGGTTGGCTACGCCGGCCTTCCTCCGAAGAGATAATGCGCTGGGTGCGATTGATGAGGAAGACGAGAATACCCCTCGGCCCGCGCCGTGGAAGCGGCGTGGAATGGGACGTAGTCTGAGCTCTATGATACAGGCTATGAAGAAGGATGAGAATGACAGACTGGATGAAGAGGCAGACATCATGCGGGAATTGGAAATGGAAGAAGAAGGTATATCTGTGCCGAAGAAACCTAGAGCACCACAACTCTTGGTGCAAGACAGCCAAGCACCGATGCCTTTGGGTCCAGATCGAGGCTTTGAATCGGAGGACGAAAGCGAGGAAGAGCCAGAAGTTGGCCCCGATGGCAAACCGCGGAGGGTATGGAAGAAGAAGGGAATGAAGAGACAGACACGGCGGGTGATAAGTATGATCTGCTGCTCATTTCAATCAAACAAACCAACTGACTATTTGTAGTGCGTCCAAATACAGCAAAGCCCAAGCCAACACCAGCACTGCAGACGCATGACGATGACGATGCGGGAGAAGAGCAGACACGTATGCCAGAAACCCAAGTATCAGCAGATGTGGCAGACGAAGTCGGTTCAGACCCAGACGACGAATCAGACTATGCTAGTGACGTTTCACACACTCCAAAGGCGAGAAAGACGCCAGCAAAGAAAGTAGCAGAGACAAAGGAGAAGCCAAGTAAAGAAGGCATCTTCAAGACTGCTGTCCGGAAAATCAAGGCTACGGCAAATGCCAATTATCGGAGACTCAACATCAAGAGTAAAACAGGGACTGGTACAAAGGGGAAGTTTGGCAGGAAGAGATAGATTGGTTGCCCTGAACAAACTGCGTGATATCTGGCACCAGTAGAAACCCAACACATGTGTGTTTCAACTAGTTCAAGAAGCATGGCCATTTTGATTTGCCCTGGCATGATATTTGGTTAGAGGGTCTTAATAGAAGCAATCTCCATCGCTACACGACGTACGCGGCGACACAGTAGATGCCGAATCAGACTATGCAAATCACCAGTTGTATATGCACAAAGAGAAATGTCAGCTGCAGCATGGCAAACATGGACGGCGCAGTGGAAGAGCAATGTAATCGCCAATAGTATGGGGCGAGCTCTGAGACAGTGTGACCACTTGGGTCATCTGCAAAAGTTGGTGCCTGGCCTATTGTGGGATGTGAGGCTACCTTTGACATTATAATGCCCAGCATGTGCGTGATGCTTTGAGCAAGATCACCGCTGTGATTCCAGACTTTGTTGAAAAGAAATGCCGTATATTCGGTATCGAACGTTTGAGGGCTACGCCACGCCGTGGCGGTTGGAGAGCTCGCAGGCGCTAAGACCAGCAACAGCACCTCCGACACCGACGGGCCCCCGACGTAAACGACCGAAGCTTCCACTCGCCGCAACAAGCACGCCGCCGCCCATCACATTGCCCACTCGACTCACGGCACCGACACAAACCCGCCATCCGACGTCTCCATCATCTCCAACCACGAACCCCGAATCCCCACCGCACACCATGGCCGAGAAGGAGCTAGCCAGCGTGCTCCAGCAGCTCCACCAGACGCTCAAGTCGCACAACTACCAGCAATCGACATCATTACTGGGCAAAGCCAAGATAGCACTGCTGCACCTCAACGCGCTGATTCCGCAAGAAAAGACGCCGCGAAAACACCTGCAGCTGGCGCGCGAGACGCTCGAGCTGGGCGCCATCATCTCGATCCGGCTCAAGGACACCGAGTCGTTTACGCGCTACTTCCAGCAGCTGCAGCCGTTCTACTCGCTGCCCGAGGCGACGCTGCCCAAGGAAGGCAGCAATTCCAGCAAGGTCACGGGCCTGTATTTGTTGTTGCTGCTGAGCGAGGGCGACTACGCGGGGTTCCACACGCTGCTGGAGACGCTCGAGGTGGCGGCTGCACAGGCGGGATCACGGCTCGAGGCCGACGCCTTTATCCAGTATCCCGTAAGGCTGGAGCAAGCGCTGATGGAGGGCAGCTATGATAAGGTGTGGGTTGAGACCAAGAGCGAGCGGGTGCCTGGCGAGGAGTTTGGCCTATTCACCGAGGTACGTCAGACATACATCTATCTATCCATTCACATCCCAGCCCCCCATGAAATCAATAAACAAACAAAGCAAAGATAGAAAAAAGACTGGTTTGCTAACTCCTCCCAGATTCTCATCGGCACCATCCGCAAGGAAATCGCCTCATGCAGCGAGCGCGCATACCCCTCGATCCCCATTTCAGATGCCAAATCCCTGCTCTTCCTCGACTCGGAGGGCAGCGTCGTTGCCTTTGCAAACGAGTTGGGCTGGCTCGTCAAGGACGGCCGGATATACTTCCCGCAGCAGGAGGACGACTACGTCAGCAAGGATATCTTGGTTACGAGCGACCAGGTGATTGAGAATACGCTGGGTTATGCACGCGAGTTGGAGACGATTGTTTGAGGTGTGAGATGTGGATGTGGATTGTTATTAGTGGTGAGGTTAGATGCGGAACGTGTATGATTATGATGCATGAAATTAGGAGGGTTAGGAGACCAGTTTTAGTCTTTGCACTCAATCAAGAAGAAGAAGAAGTGTAATGAGTTATGATTATGTCTCTTTCTCTCTTTGTGTCTGGCTTGAGCAAAGTGACGTGTAGCACTGTATGCCGTAACCATCAATATCAAGTATCCAAGTGAGAAATGACAAACAGCCAGTCATCTCACAAGAAGACATGGGACGCAAGCAGTATCTCTGCATTACCATGCACATGTGAGAGCACTGACTGATTCATCGATTCATGGCACTTGAACAGCCAGATGGACCAAAGAGCATATTTAAATAACGTATGTATGTATTTTGGGAATTGCAGTTGTATTCAAGTGAGTAGGGAGTTATGAATAGAAGAAGAAGAAGAAGAAGAAATAAGAACCCAACAGAGAAAGAACAGAGAAAAGAGATGTACAGAAAGTATTGGCAGACAGGTAGCTAACTAACTAACTAACTAACCAGAGAGACACATACAACGCCATCTACACGAGTGCGGCTTCTGCTGTGATTTTCCATGGAAAGCACGAGTTTTGCCATTCACATAGTCATACTTGGACCTAGTAAATGTGGTAATCACCTTGCTGATTGACTAAATTCACTCGCTCACACTGACTGACTAGGTGATTTGAGGATAGTGTTGAAAAGCTGGACTGAACTGAATATATATGAAGCAGGGACTAGATAAGACGAGAAGAAGAAGAAAAAAAATCAGTACTGGAAGCAAGAACGTGAGGGCAAGACAAGACAAAAGGGCATACGAAAAGCGGTATTTCAGCCCAGAATTCAAAGAGAGATGAATAAGCAGATGACTAAGAAGAAGAAGAAAAACTCCCGCTATTATACGATTTGGTATATCCCTAAAACTAACAGAAAAAAAAGGAAAAGGAAAAAAAAAGAGACGCGAACCTAGCCCGTAAGGAAAAATCAAGCAAGCAATTAAGACAAGACCGAACCGAACTGAACTGAACTGAACCCGCGAACCCCGATATGGAAAATATCCCAGTTAAAAACTACAACAACAGCAACGACAACGACAAGCCAACAGTAACAAACACTGCCAATGTAGAATGTAAATGCCAGATCGGGGTATCCCAAGGAATTTGGAGCAACATGGTGGTGATGGTGATGGCGATGGTGATGGTAGTGGGTAGTGTGTGAAGCTCTCTGCTCTGCACTGATTTGTTCTGTTCTGTTCTGCTCTGTTCTGCTCTGTTTTGCTCAGAGACACGATAGTATGTAACATCGAGAAAGCCTCTCATCGCTTTCTCACCGATGGGCCAAGGGAAATATAAGGAAGATGGCTAAAAAAAACAAGACTGCCTAGACTATTGTGGGAGGGAAAAAAAGAAACCATGCGAATGCTTGCCAACAACTACAAGACCAAGAATGCAAAATATGGTTGCCGTATCAATTCATACGAGGAGATTCGTCATGTTTGTTTCGTTGTCGTTACATCGTGAGTGTTTGCTCGGCGGATGAGAGTGGGAACTGATGGTGGCGACGCTTCTTGGCTGACCAAGGTGAGGTGTATATGTGTATGTGGGCGCGGTGGCAATGATTGGATTGGCGATTGATCTACTCTGACTCAGGACCGATGTTCGACCGCTTGCTGCTCCCCAGTGGCGACCGCGACCAGTGCCTCTAATCGTCTCATGTCATTGTTATTGTTTGCTTGGGGAAGCGATTGACCAAGCGTCACGGGTCCCCGCTCGGAAGGCTCACGCTGCGGATGGTAGGTTGAGCTAGAACTAGAGAGGCTATGGCTGTGGTAGTGCTGATGCGGTTGCGTGTGCAAAGGATGAGGTCTTTCCATAATGGATGCTGGGGGCGCGATCTTGTGGTCTTCGACAATGACGGGCGTCTCGACGTAGCCATTGCTATGGACAATGGCCGGATGATAGTCAATCATAGTTCCTGGTGTTGGGACGCCTTCGCTGCTGCTAGAGTCCTCGGGTGACGTCCGCTGCATTGCTCTTTGCGGTTGACTGACGGGTCCATTGTACCAGGCCTGTCGTTTGTTCTTTCGCGGAGTCTCAGGCTGCTCCTGTGATGTCCTCGGCGACGAATTCATCGACGGAATCTGAATAGGTTGGAGATTAGCCAGCTGCCGACTGAAGTAGCCGTGCGGGGCTGTGGTTGGCCTTGCGCCACTCGCCCGCCCTGCGCTGCCGGGGTATTGTTGCGACCACTGCTCTCTCTGAGAGCCCGGACCAGCAATGTTTAGGCGGTCAATCTCCCATGAAATACTTGTTCTTTTGTGATGGCCTCGATTAGGTGGGGGTTCCCTGGGCGCATGGTATGTGAGTGGGCGGCCAGGAGCGTCTAGCTGCATGGGACTCGGCTGGCGTCGGGGCAACGTGGGCGGAGGAGGAGCATGATCGAAGCTTTCAATACCTGGAAGCCTCGTTGTCTGTGAGGCAGCAGGCTGTGAAGTGTACATTGGCCGTGGGGCATCTGGGGTCTGATGATAGCCCAGTCCGCTCGTCGCTGGCCGAGGGCCAGAATACGTTCCTGGATGCCAAGTGCGGCGCCTCCAGTCTGCGTCTGCATTGGTATCGCCCTTGGATTCGGAGAAGTGGGATACGGTGGGACTAGCGTATGCGCTGCTCTGTACGGAGAAAGTCGGAGGAGCGGCTGACGATTGAAGTGGTGTGATGTATGTTGGCGGGCCTTGCCCTGGAGGACCAGCAAAGGGATTGCCATTAGACGAAATCGACTGTCGGCGTCCTGGTGGGGGCGGCCCAGCCCAAGAGACTGGTCTTGAAGCCGAAGTGGCAGGCGATTGCATGGCGGAGCCAAAGCGAGCAGGGCTGCCTGTGGGTGCCGTGGAAAAGGTAGCAGAGGTCGGGGTTGTGGGCGCGTTGGATGGTGTGTCATACTCTACAGGCCCCGGACTGCCCATCATGGGCGGGTCGTATGCATTCACAGTGTTGAGCGACAAGCGCGCTCTTGCACTCGCACCACCATCACTAGCCATTGCGAGAGGCGGGGGCCTGCGGCGAACATCTGGCGATTGAGCTACGCTTACACTTGACATGGTGGACGTGATGCTAGAAGCTGACAAATTCCTGCTGTGGCCGCGGCTGTGTCCGCCTGTGCTGCCCAGCGTGTTTGCCCGCGAGCGGTTCCCTGGCGGGCGTACGCGATCGGTTCGTATTTGTCGCTGAAATCTCGTGCCTGTGGCCGCCAGTGATTCTGAGGGAATGTCTTCGTTGACGTGGACGGTTTGTGCATGCTGCCGGAGATTGTCGAGGCGCGAGAAGCGTCTTGAGCAGTGACACTGAAAGGGCCGTTCTCCGGTATGCTTACTGTGGGACTGTTAGGAAAGTCACACAACAGACAGTAGAGAGAAAGAAAGAAAAAAACATACCGAATGTGACGTGCCAGATGTTCGCTCCTGGTGAAGCTCAGATTGCAGGGCGGAAAGTCTGTGCAGAAGAATCGCTGGCCCTTCTTCTTCTTGGACGGGCGATTCGAGTCGCTCGTCACGCTCTCGTTGTCGGAAGCCTCTTTTTCTTCGTCGCCGTCACCCATGTGTACATCTTGCGCAGATGCTGTCGATTGCGTTGGCTTGTGCGATCCCTCTCTACTCCGCTCGCTCTTGTTGGAAGCCGATGGTGTTTCGCTCACTTCGCGGCCGGGGGTAAAGGGCGAGGTTGGCAGCGGTCGCTGGCCAGCGAGCCCGGCGGCAAAGGTATTGCGCGTTGGGGTTTTGGCGGAGGATTCGTCTGCACGAATCTCCTCGGCAGCCTTTGATTCTGCAAAGAATCTGCTCGTCGGTCGGGGTGTCGTGGGCGTCGTCTCGTCGCCTGGACGCGCTTGGGGCGGCTCCGGCACGGGCAAGGCGGTGTTGACTGCTTGGAAGCTCGACATGTTTTGGGAGGAGATGACGGCTCGCAAGTGCGTGTGGGTTGGATATGTGGTGCGCCCAAGTTACAGTGAGGGCAGCGGCGGCGGCGGTGGGCGCGTAACCAATTCACGGGCGTGCACAACAACAGGGCACGCTTCAGCGACAGCGGCAGGCGGTATCAGAGTGGAAGGCTGATGCAGGCGCAGGACCCAGCTCGATGGTTTGGCAGGGCGCAATCAGGGTGGTTGTGCGGGTGGTTCCTGAAGCGGGAGTAAGAAGGCTGAAACGGGATGATGACGAATAGAGAGCGGCGTTGCAACAACATCCGGGCGCAGCCTCCAGCGAGCGAGGACAAGGAAGCGGTTCAGAGAGAAGGGGCGCGCGCGTGCATGTGCTTAATATGGCTTTTTTTTGGGGGGGGGGGTGGAGGTAGTGTGGTCGGCGGGCTCTCGGGCGGGTGCGTGTATTTGTTATGGCGTGGGCGTTTGGTGGGCGGACCAGGTGTTGCGAGGGTTGAGCAACCACGGATGCTCGGAGTCTGGCTGGGGGGGTTGATAAGACGCGGTCGGAAGCCTCAGGTGGCGGGGAGCGTCGTGGCCCCTCGTAGACGCCGAGAGGGCGAGACGCACAGGTGCGCGCGCAGCAACGGGCGGTAGCGAGGATGAGAAGGGAGCGCGGCCGAATGCGGCTCTTGGTGGGTTAGGTTGGGGGGTTGTGTGGAGGGGGAGAGGGAGGGAGGGAGCACGAGGTGGGAGGGATGGAGGGAGGGAGGGATGGAGGACAGGGCAGGCACGGCAGAGCGTCGAGGGCAGCGGGGAGGAAGGAAGGGCGAGCGGGTGAGAGGTGAGAGGTGAGAGGTGAGAGGTGAGAGGTGAGAGGTGAGAGGTGAGAGGTGAGAAGTGAGAGGGTGAGAAGATGAGAGGGTGTGTGTGTGTGGGTGCGTGTATGAGGGAGAGGGGGGGGGAGTGTGGACAAAGTCACGATTGCGTCGCGGCTAGATGCGAGGAGGGGTTGGTGGAGCTGGTGGTAGGAGTAGTGGCAGCGGTAGTAAGGCACAGGACTGGGAGGGCGTGTTAGCCCTGGACTCGACGGGCCTGGCAAGAAGGCTGGGGTTTTAGTGAGTGTGTACATAACGCTAGCTGGGTGTAGACTGCGACGACTATGACGGCTCTGGCTACGGCCGACATGGGCGGGCTTGTCTGCAGATCCCTGGCCCGCCCATGGCCTGGTGCTGCTGATGCTGCTGATGCTGCTGATGCTGGTGCTGGTGCTGGTGCGGTGCTGTGCTGTGCTGGTGCTGGCGGCCAGTGTATCCAGGGCGACGCAAGCGCAGGCAGGCACCGGCACAGGCACCGGCACAGGCGTCAGACAGCGTGTAGGGCCTGATGGCATGGTGAGAAAAGGCGGGCGAGGGCGAGTCAGCAGCTGCAGCGGCAGTGCCTATGACATAGTATGACTTATTAATAATGCTGCTGCTGCTGCTGCGACGGCTACCACTATGACTACCACGACGGCCGCCGCGCATAGCACGTAGATGCATGGAGCGTACATGTATGTGTGTGGTAGTATATATGTGTGTGTGCATGTGTGTGTATGGGCGTGGGTGGGCGCGACAAGGCGCCTTTCACGTGCCACGGCGGCCAAGGCACCTTTGCACACTTGCACACACAAGGCCTTGGAGCCAAAAGAGCGCCGGTCCCAAACAGAGGCGATATTAAGCAGCAGCAGCAGCAGCAGCAGCATTCGATATGCCAGTGCCAGTGCCAGTGCCAGTGCCAGTGCCAGTGCCAGTGCCAATGCCAAAGCAATCACGGCGGCGCAGCGCAATTGGCGCAAGCGTGCAAAGCGGCCCATGGCTGCTGCAGGCTAAGGCGGTGCGAGGGCGAGACGGAGCGGCGATGCAAGGGGACGATCCACTCCCCCAAGTCGTGTACCTTTGTACCTTGCCGAAGCGAACGACTAGCATCCGTGCTTCCCTTCCCCGTGACTCGACACACGCACACGCACGCACACACACACACACACACACATGCATATGCTACCCAAAACACCAACAGAGCCCACGCCCCGCCACGCACACACAACACGTCTACCGCCGCCCATGGACTGCCCCGACTGCGCCAAGAAGAGCACGAAGACGGCGACGGCGACGGCGAAGAAGATGAAAAACACACCACCCGCCCCCTCCCTCTCTTACCCTACCCTACCCTACCCGCTCCGACCTACTAGCATACTCGACTCCACACAGGCAAACCACAAATGCAAAGAAAAAGGTCATCTGCGCCTCCCTCAGCGCCACCAGTACCATATTCCTCGTTTCTTTTTTCCCCTCCCCTCTCTCTCTTACTTTCCGCCTTGCGACACTTACACACACTACACTACACTACCACTACCACTACCCCTCCCTGCCAACGCTCCGATCGACGCCGCTTCCACCCTCTAGCTCGCTCGGTCTCTCTCTCTCTCTTCCCCCCACACACACAAACCATGCCGGTACTCTCTCCCCTTCTTCTTCTTCTTGACACGTTACCCGCATCAACCCCCAAGACCCCACGCCTGCTACCATTGCATGCACAAGCACTATATATACAACAACATCAATGCAAGAAGAAGCTTTTTTGCTACCAGGTCCGCTGCACATAATCCATCAAGTAAATGCCCATGTCACTGCACAACAACAACAGCAACAACAACAAACAACAAAAAAAATAAACTCCCCGCCCTGCCCTTCCGTCGTCACACACATAGTAATATTAGTATGCGAAATAATATAATGCCATAGCTAAGCAAAAAAAACTTTTCTTGGCTGTCTGCCTGCGGTGCGTGCTTGCCACAATGTGTGCGCATCTCACCCTCCCCCACACACACCCCGGCGTTACGCGGAAATATTCAAGCCAAAGCTGTCGCCTAGCTGTGCATAGAAGAAACCCCCCCCCCCCATTTTACCGCCATCGCCGCCATGGTGTTGAGGGGCAAAAAAAAAGTGTGTGTGTGTGAGAGAGAGAGAGAGAGAGAGAGACGGCAATGCCCATTACTCGCTCGCTCGCTCACACCACACACGCATAAGCACACACACAAACACACACACACGCTGCACGCTGCACGCTGCACGCACCGCCGCCGCCGCCACCGCCACTTGCGCTTGCACTTGCACTTGCACTTGCGCTAGTGCCAACCCAGGGTCGCTGTCGCTGTCGCTGTTGCTGTCGCTGTTGCTGTTACTGTCGCTGGGCAGAGAGAGAGAGAGAGAGAGAGAGAGAGGGGCAAAGCGATTGTGACTGGGTTGTTGCTTATCTTTCTCCAGACTATCCATTTCCATACTACCACTACCGCCACTTCCACTTCCTGCTCCTGCTCCTGCCATGTGACGCAACTTTACTCACGATCACATGGCCATGGCCCGCACACACACAACGCTTACTACTACTACTACTACTACTACTACTACTACTACTACTACTACTACTACCACTACCACTACGCTGATTCCATATTTTTTTTGGCTACTACACTACCAGCTACCGCCCTCCCACTTGCACTCTCCTCAGTGCAGCAGCCCCTCAGACTTAGGTTCGCATCCTCACTTAAGTCTCTCTCACGCACTAATTTTTCGTTTTTTTTTTGAAATCAATTTTCTTTTTTCTTTGTTCCAAGATCCCCCCTCCCCCTCCCCCTCCTCCT